TTTTAAAATCAATATCGGTATTAACATAACAATGAAACCGTTTACACAAATCTATAGCAACACTTGTAGCCCACAGAACCTGTATAAGTATTTAAATAATGATTTAAAACTGTTTTCGCAAATCCTTAGCAACACCTGCAAAACCATATAGGTAATAACAAACAATTATGGTGTACACACAAAATATAAACACATGAATATCAAAAAGTTATTTAAATGTTTGCATCAGTGCGATGCAGGACATAACATAGAGATTATGTTTTCAAAAATATTTGTCAATATCTCTCCAATATCAGCCGTGTATTGATGGAGGATCTATGTCAATAGTATATCATGGTATTAATGCTTTGCTGAAATCAACCATATCCTTCACAGTTTCCCACTAATTTTTATAAAAAACCTTGTGCCTGTTTTACCTCAGGTGAGTAGATTTTACTTTGTAATTTAGTCCCTAGCCATTGTATGCTGGCAGTAAACATGATCCACAGAATGGTCTTACCCTGGCCACTCGGTCGTTAACCGTGAACACACAGGAACTCTTCGGTTCTTGTTCTGGGTTGTTCTTGATCGGTGTGTACATGGAAAATCGTGGCAGCTGGCGTGTCAGTTCAAATACATGAAACTGGATACTGAAACCAAGGCAACAGACATCAACAGTAAGTCAAAGATAGAAACAGGAAAACTTGGGGTTAGATCTTATAATGCTGGGATAAGTAGAATGTTAAATATAGAAATGACCTGAAACTAACAAAGGTTACCTGGACTTGTAGCCAACAAAAGCTTTTATGTGAAGGTCGACCGGTACATCTTTGGGAGGCTGGATTGATACCTTCAAGTTATTGGACAGTTGAGCAGGCGCAGGATGTCTAGAAATAAGGCCAATAAACAATCATAAATAGAACATCTAGTTGAGAGGGGGCAAGGTGTCTGTCTAGTGACCCTTACCTTTGACCTTTCATATCAAAATCCAAACCCAAGCAAGCTGTGTCAGTATGACCATAATTTCAGTTTAATCAGTCAAACAAAATTTTCTATTGATAGTGTCAATGACTTTGATTTTTGACCCCTCCATAAGCAACTCAACATAAGCATTTGTGATAAGAAAGCATTACAGGGTTTTCCATAAGAGCCGGTCGCCAGCCAATTTGACCAGCTACTTTGATAATTTGGCCGCCTACACCAATCCAGTTCCGTAATAATGTTCCGTACACGACTACACGTACACGGCAGGCTGGCCTCCTACTTTCACTACACAGCCTGCTGCTAACAAAATTATGGAAAACCCTGCATTAAGTAAGTTTGATTTATCCATAAACTTATATTTTATTGATACTAACAGTGACTTTTGAGATTTGATCTTTTGACCCAAGTAATCAATGATATGTTTGACAAGGGCTAGGTGAATGTGTCTGAAAATTAGGTCAATAGGTTGGAGAAGTGTGTCTGAAATAAAGTTGGTACAATTATAGACAACCAATAAGAGAAGTCTGATGCCTGCAGGTGTAGTCTAACTTTAAAATAGGTGAAAATTTGAAGCCAAGAATACTTGGAGATATGATATATAATGTAGATAGGACATGCTATACAAAGTAGACATAAAACTGTTTAGCCTTGTTACTTACATTACATGACTTTCTCCTTCAAATATTCCTTCAGCAAATATCAATACTGCTTTAATGGCCGTGTCTGTTAAACAGAAAAACATGCATTAGATAGAAAACACACAAAAAACATACCAACACAATATAATTTCTTATTTTTGTGTATCCTATCTTAACACAGTACTATAAGAACAAGTATAACATCAACATACTTACCATTTGTTGTCCCTATGAATAATTCCACATGAGGCTGAAAGACAGATAGAAAAAAATGATATATTTAGTAGTCACTTTTTACACTTCTACCTCCCAGAAACGATGTATTATCAAAAGTTTTAAAGTAATTTTCTAAACTGCTTCATTTTTGAAAGTCTTTTTCTACTCATCACCTTGTAAATAATCAAGCTAATAGCAAATTAATACCCTATAGAAATGAGAATTGTTTTAGTTTTACAGAGGGACACATGATTTACTTACTGGTTTTCCCTCTTCTCCTGTGTTTACCCTCAGTGTTGTTTGTAGTTGAGTGGCAGCCTATCAAAGTAAAAAGATCATTCTTAAATTTTGAATTCACACAGTATATATAAATCATAGGTTATATAGCTTAAATAATAAATTGCACAGAAATCAAAATATCACACTATAACAGAAAATGTTCATACATCACAGGTATTGCCAGGTATATCAAATTTACAAAAGACAAGGAACAAAATTACAAGAACTGAGATGTATACTCCCATCACAGGTATTGCCAGGTATATCAAATTTACAAAAGACAAGGAATAAAATTACAAGAACTGAGATGTATACTCCCATCACAGGTATTGCCAGGTATATCAAATTTACAAAAAACAAGGAATGAAATTACAAGAACTGAGATGTATACTCCCATCACAGGTATTGCCAGGTATATCAAATTTACAAAAGACAAGGAACAAAATTACAAGAACTGAGATGTATACTTACAGGAATAACTCCCATCACAGGTATTGCCAGGTATGTCAAATTTACAAAAAACAAGGAATGAAATTACAAGAACTGAGATGTGTACTTACAGGAATAACTCCCATCTTTTGGGCATCATATTCTCCAGGAGGAAAAGGTCTTTCAGCTGAGAACCTGGCTGCAACACTTCCAACACCTCTATCCCCTCCCAAACCTCCCCCACCTCCAGGGCCACCTTCTCCAAGACCTCCTTGTCCTCCATGGCCATCTGCATCAACCCCATCTGGTCCTCCAACACCTCCAGCACCACCTGTGCCACCCCCCGCTCCACCCATGCCACCCCCAGCTCCGCCTTTGCCGCCCCCTGCTCCACCCATGCCACCTCCAGCTCCTGCTCCAGCTGCACCCATTCCACCAGGTCCTGATCCTCCCATGCCACCACCTCCTCCTCCCATCCCTCCACCACTACTGCTGCTGTAGCCTCGAGATGCAGCATTTGACGCCAAAGCAGTTGCTGCCACAGCTCCAGCTTTTGTGTTCTCATCATAGTTCTTCAGCTCCATCATCAGGTTCTATCAATACAAAGCAAATCCACTGTCTATACACAAAATTGTTTTGATAAAGAACTGCCCATCAAAATCGTTGCCTTTTTAAAACACAGTCTATAAAGAAGTTTATGAAGACTACTATACACTTTTTAACCTACTTCCTGATTCACAAAGCATATACCTGAATTGCCAGTCTAACATGTTTTTCCTACAATAGGTCATCCCTGGCAATAAAGTAATCCACATCTTTTGCAGTCTTGTAAGAAATGTAAACAAAAACAATATTGTTGCCCTGTTATATGACTATCCCCCCTTACTCTACGCCACAAGTTATATGTTAAACAGGCCCCTGTGCTTATTGCAAAACACTACCACAAAATATATACCAAGACAATGTATGTGTCAAGATGCCCTGATATGGGGGAAGAGCTCGGATGTTTACCTGTTTACGTAGACTAAGGTCACGAATTGTTTCCTGTTCCATGTTAGCATCCATCAGGTTACCTCTCATCTCTATTGGGGCTGGGTTGTATCCCTTTACTGAAATTACACAAAATGTCATAATATATTCAAAGATCACTATAAAATCTGAGGTATGTCTACTATGATCCAAAGAAACTTGTGACGTCTCCCCATTTCATAATTTCCTATATTTTACTCTCAAAATATCTCTACAACTTGATTTGATAAAAGAATTGGATCATTTACTGTTAAAAAGTGTTTATAAGTATCAAAATACATATCGAAGTTGGAAGTGATCAAATCTGTTCTTAATGATAATCACGCAAATGGATTGTTGCAAAGAAAATCTTCTGACCCTGTATTCTGAGGGCATGATACAATAGTCCCTCACACACTCAACATGGTTAGCTTCAATACATTATTGGAGAGATTTCATGCAGGATATTTGGCTTCAAAACAAAATATGTACTAGCATGAAATTTTTCACTTCTTTCAAATTAGATTTTTGAGGTGACTTGCAGATACAATCATTATAACACACAAATCAAACTTTAATAAAAGGCTCATGCCTGATGTAATAATAGTATATTAAGAGAAGTTAACATCCTAATAATGATGGGTTATACCTTCTCCTTCAGCAGATACACATATCAGCTGTTGTGAGCCATCAAGACGGTAGTCACCCTGTAACCAATAACATTATATTGTACAATGTACGGTCAAAATAGTTATATACAAGGGTCATTGGAGACAGTTAATGCTCCCCGAAAGGTACAAAATTAAAGAATGAAAAATAACAAGGGGCAACAATTCCTAAATAATACAAAGAGAGTTATGTTTCTTGTACACTGCACTTCTCCTCATCAAGATCTATCTACCTATGAAGTTCATGTTGATACATCTTATAAATTTTGTGTTATGCTCCAGACAATATCTAAATATGAAAAATAGCAAAGGGCAATAACTCCTTTATTATGCTAAAGATAGTTATGGTTTTTGTGCTACTACATGCTCTGCCTTCAGGGAGCATAATAAAATACATATTATTGATTATATAAACTTCAAATTTTATTCAAAAACTCAACCTTGTATATGAAAGTGTCAATATTATTCAACACCATGATTAATTTCTGTGAAATCTTTTATATTTATTATGTTTGGGAAATTTATATTCATTATGTTTGTGGATACTCTTTATTTATATGTCCTCAAAAAGTTTAAATAAGTTTTAGTAGATTTATTGAGCTATATTAATCCACAAAATCAAGTGTCCATGAAATGTTTTGAAAAACCATAAAAATTGAGCCATCATTTTACAGTATTACATCAATGTATAACAAGTTCATACACAATAGTATTACATCAATGTATAACAAGTTCATACACAATAGTATTACATCAATGTATAACAAGTTCATACACAATAGTATTACATCAATGTATAACAAGTTCATACACAATAGTATTACATCAATGTATAACAAGTTCATACACAATAGTATTACATCAATGTATAACAAGTTCATACACAATATCAATATCAACAAAATATCAGTGATAAAATAAATAATCACCTGTACGATGCCTGCAACTGGGTGATTGAATGTGTCTTTGTAGATTACCTCCCCTGTCCTGTCACTCCGTACATCAATCTTAAATAGATGAAAAATCAGGATAACAATTCAGATCCACTTCCTAATGAAACAACAACCTACAGTGATAATATAAAGTATAATATTCTGTATTGCTATTAAATAAAAAGAGTAAGCCAAAGTGACATTAAACATGTTACAGTGATTCTAATAAACACACATAGATATGTAATAGATTACCTTGCCATTGCTCCAACCTGTAATCAATTCAGACACCCCATCAGAGTCAAGATCAAAACTGTGGATAGCAAGGGCCTGGTTCTTAGACTGAAAATAATTCAAACGTATCTATATATGAAAGCCATTGATCTGACAGTCCAATACATACATCCCTGAATATAACCTACTCTTATCAGTTCTATATATAAGTAACAACCACTTAAAAGAAAGACTCCTCTCTAACATGACACCTGTCTACAGTAGTATCTGTCTAAATGTAAACTGTCTACAGTGATCTCTGTCTAAATGTAACCTATCTACAGTAGTATCTGTCTAAATGTAACCTGTCTACAGTAGTATCTGTCTAAATGTAAACTGTCTACAGTGATCTCTGTCTAAATGTAAACTGTCTACAGTGATCTCTGTCTAAATGTAAACTGTCTACAGTGATCTCTGTCTAAATGTAACCTGTCTACAGTAGTATCTGTCTAAATGTAAACTGTCTACAGTGATCTCTGTCTAAATGTAACCTGTCTACAGCAGTATCTGTCTACATGTAACCTGTCTACAGTGATCTCTGTCTAAAGTGACCCCTGTCTATGAAGACCCCTGTCTAAAGCTACTCTGCTATAATGACCCCTGTCTACAGTGATCTCAGTCTATAGTGATCCCTATCTACTTTGACCCCATTTCTATAATGATCTATCATCTTAAGAGGACTGTCCAATTTGACATCTTTCTACAAAGATGATATGAATAAGTATTTTCTCTCTCCAATAAACCCTTATTCACAATTTAATATATCTATATTTAACAATTATACAAAGCCTCTTTTGAGAAATCTGTTCATTGAAAGCAAACATTTCTAAATGTTAATATATATATATATTATAAAGGCATGGAATTTTGTTTAAATGAAAATATAAAAAGGAAATTTGTGTTTAATTAACAGCTATAAAACTGTCCACATACATGTACAGTTTCTTTACTGGAATTTTCTGCAGTTGACTTCCATAATAATGAAACAACAAAAATAATATTCTCATAAAATTTAGCAGGTAAAAATGTGGTAGTTGACTTTTATGTAAAAGGTTTGTAAGATCTTTTCCAATGAAATTTATATCATAACATTAAAACATACAATGTGTTTATCCTGTAATTATTAAAGTGCAGTTTTCAGTACATACTTTGATCCTCCAGTAGCGCGAGGACCTGTCATACACGCCCACTGTGCCATTCGCCAATGTGTATCCAAACCGACTGTCCATCATTGGGCACAAACAAGTGATGGCCTGCAAAATGAGTATATCATTATATCATTACATCATTCATTTCTGATGCTTACTTTAGTGATAATTCAAGTTTGTTTTGAAAATTTCTGACATAGATATTAATGCTGAATGTGACAAATGACACATCAGTTTTGTATGAAAACAGGAACTAGTGTTACCTCAGTTTCTGTCATTTCAGCCAAAATCTCATCCTCACGAAAGACACGGATGTCAAAATCTTCTGAGCCAACCACAAGCTACAGAAGAAAAATAAAAAATCAAGATTTTTAATTCTACAAATTTCATATCAGCATTTCAAATACATGTAATTTAATAATTCTGTTTTTTAAGTTTTTATTTGATCATACTATAATATTGCTTAACTATGTTATAAAGCAGACATTGCTTCAAATCAATTTTGAATAATGACACATTAGGCAAGAACAATTCTTTTTAAAAAGGATTCAGTCAGCACAAGTAGTATATTCAAAATTAATAGATAAAAAAATCACTGATTACAAATAGGCATTATGTTACACAATGGTAAAAAATTGAGTTTCTTTCATGACAAAACAAATCTTTTGTTGCTTGCATGGTTTTTCTTTTTCCTTTCTTCAGATACAAAATATATATTTACAACAGTATCATCAAACGATATTTAGCGTATCTTTTGAGATTAGTTAGCGTTGTTGATCCTGACCTCATTTTGTCCATCGCTGCTGAAGTCTACCAATGCTAGAGAACACACATTGTCACCTGTCACCTGATGAAGAAAAAAACATGATGTCTTACATAATTCATTAACTTATTCAGACTTATAGACTGCTCATTTATATTTCCCCTGCTCTTTTTCTGGGCTTGTTGTGAATTCTGATGCTCCTTTCCAAGCATCCTACTCACCAAAGGCAAAACTTTGATGTAAAGTAGCTGTTTACTGTACGTATATCCTGAAACCATATCTATGTAATTATATGTTTACAAGTTGATAATAGTGTCACATTAAAATCACTTATTGTATCAGTCATGTACCCCATCTATCTTGAGTCATCGAAGATAAACTCAGTAAAAACAACATACAAGCACAATTTTCCAAATGACTGGATCCTATCACTTACTACGTATTTGAAGATAATTAAGTTAAATACTTAATGATAAAATAAACAGAATATATGGGCCAATAACAGGTCTCATCACATATGTAACAAAATAGGATTTAGATATATTGTTACAAAATGTGGTTTAGATATTAGTGTAACTCAGATACATAAATCAATAATCTTTGACTGACTGACTGATAAATTTTATCAATACGTAATATTGGGTAGACTGGATGGGAATTATGAATGCACACCGATATTTTGTAACTGTATTTACAGTGGACAGCACTGATATCTTCTGATCCTATTAGTCTATTCGGTAAAACAGCTGGATTTTCATATGGAATTGGTTGAAATAAGTTAGCTTAAACAACAGTTTGTTTAATCTTCAATAGTATATCAATATAACACATACAGGTAGTTCACAGGGGTGTGGATAATTACTTGCATATATATACTTAGGTTGGTGCAGTCTGGGCCCCAAGAATCTTATCAGTGGGTGTACAGCTTCGGCCAGTAAATTAATTAGAGACTATCCCCACTTCCTTGATAATCCAACTTATGCAATTTCCCGTTCGGACAGTGGCCACCTAATAGTAGAGTAATTATTAGGGTCTATTTCAAGTAACAAATTAGCAGGGGGAATCTCAACCTTGCACCTCGAGTACAGGTGGCTATACTTCAACAATCGTATCATCTAGTAACAAGTGAAGTCCATATTAGGGGATGGCCAGACAAGTTTGGTCCAGAGTAAGATAAAAGGGGGGAGATCTTTCGGTTAGAACACACGGTCTTGGGGGAGCCCACCAGATGGACAGTTCTGATACGAGACACAATGTGAAGTACTAGTATGAGTATATGAACTCTACATGTTGATGAGATGTTGCTTTTGTACATGTAACATCATTATTATTCAACATGTAATAAACATGGCTATTACCAACAAGTAAGTGTGTTTACACCTACTGTGTTACACATACCGTCCAGAATATATCATTGCCCTCCATGTCGTAGCCCTGTAATGTACAGTTTCCTCCAACAATGGCCATGGGGTCTTCTATAGCGCCAAGTCGACCAATAACTATACAATTTGAACCATCCGCGGTCTGTTAACAAACAATTATCATTTCCTTATGGAAAACTGTACAGGCAATACTGAACTTGTCAATAATGATAATAATTTTCCGTGGGTAATGAACCAATTTGGCCAAAGACATCAGGATTTAGAAAGTGATTATTAATGTACAATTTGACCAAATGATTATTAACAACTCATTATATCAAAAGACTCAAGAAATTATTTCTAAATTGGAAAAAAGTAGGCAAATAAATGTAATTCTTATATATGAAATATAGAGACTTGATAAAAATGCTTTACCAATTCAGTCTTTTTCAGTTATTTCAGTTGATTTCTGTACAAAATATTTTCATATTTAGTTAATTGACACCTACATCTTTGTAAAACAGATCACTATTATTATCAACATCATATGCCAGCAGGTTTGTGTGTGTGCCAACTGTTAGGATGTCATTCTCCTTGTCTGGGACAAGCTGGCCAGCTGACACTGATGACACTTGTTGATTGACACTTAGAAGGTTGATATCTCCATCTGAAGTGATGTCCAATCGTCCTCCTTTTAAACCACGATTGTGGGGATTGTGTATCAGCACCTGAAAAGAATAGATATTTCTTCTATAAAATGATTTAAAACTAAGCATGAGAACAGAAATCATTTCTCACTATTTCTTTTTTATCTTTACTAATATAATCATAAGAACAATATTCCATTAATATGCAAAAAAACTTAATTGGGAAACAGACACTCTATCTGAATAGAAGGTAATTTTACAAGCTTTATTCCACACAATGGATAATTTTCTGAAGACTTTTTCTCAATTTTAAACAGAATAATTTTCCCTGTGTACACATAGTGTACATTCAGAACAATTCACCAAATACTTTATGTACACTGGTATTTACCTTTCTATGTACACTGGTATTTACCTTTCTATGTACTATACAAAGACTGGTTTCATACAAACTGTGAACAAGGTAATTTTCTGCCTTACATACAGAGGGAAGATTTCTGTAGACTAATTTATACATATGGTAATTTCACATAAATTCATACAGCTGAGACAGAAATAGTGTTACATTTCAATATTGAGTCATATCTGCCAATAAAGGCCATCTAAAAGAGAAGAAAAATTGGTCTTTATAGTCAAGTGGGCTTAATAAAGAGGTACAATAACTATGAATTGATTGTCCATGTGAAGTGTGCCATCAAGTGTGAGTTTCACTTTCCCCTTGAACATGGGTTGAAGATCACTGGCAGGAGGGGATGGTGTCTGCTGGGTTAGTTGTTGTCCCAGAGATGGCGTGTTGGTTTTCTTGAGTGGATTTTACTCTAACATCCGAAACAAAACACATGTTGCCTTAGTGACACTGAAATAAAAGTTCTACCGAGCTTATGCTGATGAACTTATAAACCAGGTACCCAGGTATTACAAAAGTAAATCTTCATTTTCACATCAGAAGAGTAATAAGGGCTTTTTTATGAACCAGTATTATTTCATTACACCAGTGATTTTTACATTTGGTTTGATTACCTGCAAGACCGATTTCTAGATATCAGTTATGAAGGCAACAATGTTACATGTGAGTATAATCATACTGTCAAAATTATTTTGTTATATTTCAAGTGTTACCTTTCCTGCTGTTGTAGCACAGGTGAGGGATGCCTGGACGCCATCATACTTTCCAATGGTAACCATACGGGGGTTAACCTTGTGGTTGATCTTTAGATTGAAAATTGGCACCAACATATTGAATAGTTCAAAATTTCCTGGAAAAAAATGGGAGTAATTATAAATAGCCGTATCAAATATTTGGTCCTGACTGCTGGATCAATAAGTCAAAATAATAAATTTTCTATTATTCAAATGGTTTTGAATCTACTGTCAGCAGTTTGTGCACAACCCTGCATATGGGTATAACAGTCCTGCATTTGACTATTACCAATAATGGGAATATGCGGGGTTGTGCCTAAGCCGTTCAGACTTCAAATTACAAAATGAAAGAAACAAGATGTCAAGCAATATTTGCATTTTTGACAACACATTCAAATTTTAATGTCAACACAACTGTCGTATATAAAGTTTTACTCCACAAGCAATATTCAGTTGATTCAGTCATACGAATCATAAACATTTGTAAACGGCGCTCAATCAGATTGAGTCATTGACAACCCACCACAGGAATATGTTCCTGCTATTTTGTTGTAATATATACCGCAGTAAATATATAATTAACTTACTTTGCAAACATTAGGTAGCTTCTTAGAGATATGCGGCAGTGATCAGGTACGTTTCTTCCTTATTTACATCTTTCCTACCACTAAACTAACGAATTTATTACAGAGGAGCCGACAGGAATTTTTACCGGAAGTTACAGTGTTTCCTTCAGGGGTGAATGGAAATTCTTGTTAAATGTTCAAAACATTTTACGCAACCAAGCTTGATATTCGCTGATTTATACACATTTATTTTATGGTGTAGTTATAATTGAAGGTTGTTATTTACTATCCAAAATTACGAATAAGCTTATTACATTTTATTGTCTGCGGGACAGAAGCAAACTGTCATGGCGGGTTAGATGTGGCAATCGCGCCGTGGAGTATGAATAATGGTCTGATTTTCGCACGACGCTTGTTTTGTTGCAAATTACCGATAGTTTTCAGAAGTCGCCAGATGTGGTGGAAGGGACCTTTACAGAATTCTTTCAGTAGAATTAATTCTTTGAGCAGGTAAACACTCTGTTATCATTCTTGTAGTGTCAGCTGAGAAGTATCGATCCCTGGGGATTCATCCCATGTCAGTTCGTATTAGCTTGTGAAATGTCGTGTGTAACCTGTTGCCAGTTTTTAAATAAAAAATGGGCCTTGTTATAACTCATTAGGGCGTTATCATTAGAATGCATTGTCATGACTGCCTTGACGACAATGTGATTTTATGCTAATTCTCAAAAAAAAAATAACACTCGTAGCGAACAGCATTCATAGGACTATGAACGGAATAACAGTCATTTAAGTCGGACATATCCAGAGTTAGTTTCATGATTACCTACGAGCATTTTCTAAGCCCTACCTTGCACTAATTACAGGTTTGCAACACGCGCATGCATTTCAAACCATCCAAACCAGCTTATTTTATGATTGTGATGTTTTAATTTAAACTCAGTTCCAGTTTATTTTCTGTGGTCATCCTAAAATAATTGCTTTGATAAAGGTATGTGAAATGGTTTTGATCTTGACATGACAAACCTCCAAGATAATGGACTGTCAAGATTCTGGCAAAAAGTGAATTAAATATTTGCATTGTAATTAGGGTGCACACATTTATCATTAGACTATAATACAACCATTCATCCATATAGCTGTACATGTGACTATCTGTAAATGTATACAGCATTATTAATGTTCTAGGTTATCTTACAAATGCTACAATATGCACTTCCTGTATAGGAACTTACAATCAGGAAATTAGATCTGTTAGATATAGGTATTATTAGCCATAACAATCTTCATAATTTTATGCATGTTTATGCTGTAATACATAAAATCAACATACATATTGCACACTTGTAAGAACAAACACAGTGAATCCAGTCTACAATCCATTCATATGCTCACTGACAAATCGTCAAAGTCCTGGTATCAAACTTCACTTGTATTTATGACTGTATAGAAATCATGTCACTTACACTTAATTCATTCTCATTTGATATGTATCATTATGTATATTGAGCATGGGCAGCTAGGTTTCTTTTGTTGTTCAGTTACTTTGTGTGTGTGTGTGTGTGTGTTTGTGTGTGAGTGTGATATTCACTTGACTTCACTTCATAGTATATACACTATTGTGCTTAAGCGCCTGCTCTGTTAGAATGCACGTGTATGTTAAAAGTATATGGTACATCTATACATAGTTTATATTGGTTATTGAAATGCTCATGAGATGTGTAAAATCAGAAAAAAAGATATTGTAAAAATACCTTTATACTGTTGAAATGATGTAACTGTCATTGTATTTTATATAAAGCAAGACATTGTTATGTCAAAAAATGAAATAAATTCAACAATATTTGTTTTTTTTTCAGGTCCAGAAAAGTTATCCTGTTTATTTTGTTGCTGTTGTTGTTCCTGTATTTCCTTGGACCATATTTTTTTCGGACACAGACAACACAAATTAATCTTGGTAAATAAGAAAAGAAAATCATTCATCACTAGTGTGATTATATGCATTGAGTTTTGTTAGCTTTTAAGAGAATTTTACAATTGTAGATTCAAATTAAATTGGATTTGTTTCCTTACATTTAGTATATATTTCGCTATAACTTGTTCTGGTCAACAAGAGCAAGCATTCACACAGAACCACAACACTAAAGATCTGTTTTATATACATCATTCACATACAATAAACATATGCATACCATGAAGATTAGGAAAATGAAATGTCCCTTTTTTTGTCATTTAATGTATGTAAAGAAGACCTCTTGAAAACCCTATGTATAATGAGAATTTGTTTGATTTAATATTGAATATATACCAGTATACTACTTTTATATTTTATCATAATGTTTAAGAAAAAGGGAAATACTACATTAATTTTTTATGAAAAAGTAAGGTTATTAATTACATTGTAAGATATGTTTGTTTCCTTTTGTAGATGTACTGGACAGTTGTGTAGAAGACAAGGTCCGGTATTTTCATAAAGCCACTCAGAGTTTTGATGCCTTTGTGAACAGCCCTGGAGTATCAGGAGCAGAAGGGCGTCACTATCCAGCTTATGTTGGTAACGGTCATGTGGCTGCAGCCCTGGGCAGTAGTAATGGATTGTTTGTACGCCTCAATAGAGCACTCTCCCTCCCAGTCAAGTTCTACCCCATCGTGTCAGCATTTATGGAAAACACACCACCTGTGAAAGGTTAATATAGACCATGGCTCTTAGATTTTGGTGATCCCTCCTTCAGACTCCATCAGTTTACATGTTTCATGTCCAAGTTTTACAGCAGTGATAATTGATAAATCAGAAACTACAAAAAAATCAGTTTTGTATATTCAAGTAATTGAGTCTTTTTCTTATTTTCTTTTTTTTTTCAAATTTTTCCTCGGAAGTTTATTGAGTTAAATGTGTGTCAAAAGCTTAGATTGCAAAACAGACTATTTGATAATATTAACTGGTTCAAGAATGATATTATAATATGCTGATTGTATACTGATTGCAGAATGGATTAATTCTGGTTGGTCATGTTTTCTAGATCAAATTGAGTTGATTTTCTGGTATTATTAAAAAATTCAAGTTTAGATTAAATCTTTTTCAGAAGTGACAGCTTTACACATCAAATCTGGGATTGCTTACAAGATACAAACAATTCATGTTGTAAGTTTTCTATATTTAATGTCAATATTTTGGGGTAATGTATCTGTTTTTTTAATTAATTTTTTTTATACATACATGTTATTTTGTATTAATAATGACAATGGTAATATCAGTGATATGGTCAATCATTGATATCAAGTGGATCAAATAATATGATGGATAAAGAAATAACAACAGTACAGATATATGTGTAAATTGGCAAATTTTTGAGGCAATCTACCCCTTTATCAAGACACAAATTTTTATATATATATCATACATGGAACAAGTTAATATAGAACAATATTTTGATAATGTCCCGTATACTTAATGCTATACTAAGTGATAACCGCAACATCAACCAGTAACAAAAACAATGTACATGGCCTAGGTATTCAGAACATTAACTCTGTATTCAGTCTATGCCCTATGTTGTTGCTAATAAGAAATTTATGTGTCCCTAGTAATGGTAAACATGTAATTAACAAGCATACCATATTTATCCCAATAATAAGCACACTTGCATATGTATTGCTGCCCACTAGAATTACCAATAAATATATCAATATCCTTTGATAAGCCCGCCCTCGTCTTTGAGTAGGAGGCTTCTGTACTTCTGTACTTATAACAGTACAGTAATGGAGTAGACTATCCTTGTCAACTTACATGAATACATTTTAGTTTTGTTTCTTTCTTTAGGAATCAGGATGGACTGGTTCCTGTGTTTCCATTGGAACACAGTTGTATGCCCACAGGTCAAGGCCATCTGTGCTTGTGCAAGATATCAAACTTTCTAACCCAAGTGTAGGTATTAGTTCATTTATTTTGTAAAGTTGATGAAATTTTGAATTAATTATCTTGAGAGCATCTTTGTACATATATTACATGGTAAAGTTTCACCAATAGATACACCAATTCTTTCTTGTTCTTCCTTAATATTAAGAATTAGAATTCCAAATATCAAGTAGATAGTCACTATTCGCTGTTAACTCAATACCCATGGCCCCAGTGGAAGAAATTCAAGTAAACTCTTGAATGTCAAAGCTTTAGTAAAACAGTTCAAAGATATTTTACACAAATCAGCTGTAATTTGATTTTATGGCTTCAGTCTTAAGAAAGCGTTGCATTAATTTTAATTATATCAGCTCATTTTTGGTATTTCTTTTGGCCGCAAATATTGTGGGTTTCGCTTCCTTGATATTAGGTCAATGAACTTATTTCTCGTTGCATATACATAATGTACTTTAAAATTTTCAGACTAAAATGTTGACAGATTTCTGTCATACCTGGTAAAGTTTGAAATTTCATTAAATAATTGATTTTCAGAAAAATCAAGTGGTTGTAGACTTGGACCAGATTGGAGATTCTGGATGGGAGGGTGCCAAATCATCTCTGAAAAGGTAATAAGTATATAGTGTATATTGTACTTTGATATGGCTCAATGTTTGAGTACATTACCAAACAATTATAAACACACTTTAGTATTGACCTGTATTTGATGATTACTGTGGTTTGGTTTATATAAGTCAGGAAATAAAAAGTGAATCATTATAATAGTCAAGCTTATGTCCGGAAAAAATATTGTGAACAAAATGACTGTCCATCAAGTGAACTTTGTATTATAGATTGGTGGATGTTTGCTTTGATAATAGTGGTTTTTGTTTTGTGTGACAGTGCTAAGAACAATGTTGGGGAAGATGTCCAGTACAGTTTGACCTCTGGGGCAGTCAGTAGCCAGGAGTCTGGTTATGTCTCATATGTCACTGTGGCAACGGTCAAACTACCAGAAAAGTTCATCAAAATCCAGGCAGGAAAGTAAGTTTAAATTCCATTGGTTTAAGATTTTGATGGATTGTTAAAAAGGAAGATCATACAAAAGAAAATTAACGTCTTAATGCTGTGCTCACTGGAAACTGCTGAACTGGATTATATTCAAACAAGCAAATGAGATTAAAAATGGTCATAGCTCAGAACTTGTGCTTTTTATCACATGAAGAAATTGTAGACCTCCTGAACATATTGCTGAGATATGAATTTATTTGATTTGAAAAGATGAGCAGCATATTCAGAGATAGTTCTAGAGCGATTAGTGAAATTCTTCTTACCTCTTACTATCTTATAATATAGATATGTACAAAATAAATTATTTTTTCATTTGAAATAGCTTTTATTCTGTTACAACTTGGTTGGGAAACTCCAAAATTCAAATTGCACAATAACACCTTCCCTCCCTCACTCCTCCTCCAAAGGATACACTGTAACATGTAAAATAGATATATTCCTGGACTATTTGAAATAAATAGATCAGAAAGATACTGTTTAAGTAGTTTTGTCTTGAGTATATATGTTTTACTTACAGAACTAAAATGTTACATGTGGTGACTGTGGTACACTATACTGCTCCAATGCCGAAGGGTATGAGGGATCCCAACCTTGTCTTCAAAGACCTTGAGGAAAAAGTGGACAAGGTAGGGCTATTATAAGACATCAATACGAGGAAAAAGTGGACAAGGTAGGGCTATTATAAGACATAAATACAAGGAAAAAGTGGACAAGGTAGGGCTATTATAAGACATAAATACAAGGAAAAAGTGGACAAGGTAGGGCTATTATGAGACATAAATACAAGGAAAAAGTGGACAAGGTAGGGCTATTATAAGACATAAATACGAGGAAAAAGTGGACAAGGTAGGGCTATTATAAGACATAAATACAAGGAAAAAGTGGACAAGGTAGGGCTATTATAAGACATAAATACAAGGAAAAAGTGGACAAGGTAGGGCTATTATAAGACATAAATACAAGGAAAAAGTGGACAAGGTAGGGCTATTATGAGACATAAATACAAGGAAAAAGTGGACAAGGTAGGGCTATTATAAGACATAAATACGAGGAAAAAGTGGACAAGGTAGGGCTATTATAAGACATAAATACAAGGAAAAAGTGGACAAGGTAGGGCTATTATAAGACATAAATACAAGGAAAAAGTGGACAAGGTAGGGCTATTTTAAGACATAAATATGAGGAAAACGTGGACAAGGTAGGGCTATTATAAGACATAAATACGAGGAAAAAGTGGACAAGGTAGGGCTATTATAAGACATAAATACGAGGAAAAAGTGGACAAGGTAGGGCCATTATAAGACATAAATACAAGGAAAAAGTGGACAAGGTAGGGCTATTATAAGACATAAATACGAGGAAAAAGTGGACAAGGTAGGGCTATTATGAGACATAAATACAAGGAAAAAGTGGACAAGGTAGGGCTATTATGAGACATAAATACAAGGAAAAAGTGGACAAGGTAGGGCTATTATGAGACATAAATACAAGGAAAAAGTGGACAAGGTAGGGCTATTATAAGACATAAATTCTGAAAGGTTCAATGTAATAGTAGAAATATTTATTAATATAATTAACAAAATGACTCAGGGTTTGATAAAGCAGCTTCAGAAACTAGCAACCTTCAATCAAAGTATAAACGATGGAAATGACTATGTTATTTCTAACCATTCCTTGTCTAACTGGTTTGTGATTAAGCAGATGTTAGTCAACAGTATTTATTAGGCTAACTGTAAATAACCCAAGTTTAGCCTTATCAAGGCGATAAGTACTTCACATTTCAACACATATGAGCATTTCGTTCATGTCTTACTGTATTTTCATTACATAAGATACATAATATGTGCAGTAATTTTATAAATAAAGCTCTTCTGTTTAGACTTTATTGTAAAGACTTCTCAGAAAGATAAATTTGATTGTTTCAGGATATGTTAGAAGTGTTGAAAATGGATGCCACTGGCCTGAGGGAGGAACATATCCATGTTTGGAATAAAGTAAGTAAATCTAATAGATAATGGTGAACACTCCAGCATGAATGAACCTATCTATCAACATATCATTATACAGATAGGTCAAAGGTCAGGTAAAAGTAAGTAAATTTAATAGGTATTGGTGAACACTCCAGCATGAATGAACCTATCTATCAACATATCATTATACAGATGGGTCAAAGGTCAGGTAAAATTAAGTAAATTTAATAGGTAATGGTGAACACTCCAGCATGAATGAACCTATCTATCAACATATCATTATACAGATGGGTCAAAGGTCAGGTAAAATTAAGTAAATCTAATAGATAATGGTGAACACTTCAGCATGAATGAACATATCTATCAACATATCATTATACAGATGGGTCAAAGGTCAGGTAAAAGTAAGTAAATCTAATAGGTAATGGTGAACACTCCAGCATGAATGAACCTATCTATCAACATATCATTATACAGATGGGTCAAAGGTCAGGTAAAATAAGTTTGCCGTCAGATTTTTGTTATAAGTTTCAAAGCTCAAGGAAATCAATAAGAAAGTAAAATCTAGATTATGTGATGTTTTATGCCCAAATTGTACAATGGTATCTATGCTACAGTTATGGCAGAGTGGGTTTGGAATCAGCTACTCGAAGGCCAGCGGAGCTTTAAATGGTGACAAGATCAACTCCACTATGTATTACGTGATGAGTAATATCCCTGCACCTCTTCACAGTGTCACCTCTACACAGAAAGAGCGTACAGAGATATACCGCACACTCCACTACCCAGACAGGTGTTACGGAGGTCATTCAACTCTGTAAGTATTCAATATTAGTTTATTCAATTTTACAATCAAGCTTCCTCACAAAAGTCTGAGAGGCATTACAACAATCATTTTATCTGAAAGGTGTTTTGGGAGTCACACTAAGTATTTTGTTCATAAATCTAAGCATTGTTAGGGTTGGTAAACTGTTTGTGTGTTCGACATGTAACAGAATTCTTACTGATAATGCAGAGACCATTTCAAAGTATAAGCAATATGTGAGATGTCAAAGTAGCCTTTCCATGCTGAAAACGTTCTTACCTACCTCAAGTCTGATAGCTATTATCAAAGTTATTTATACCATATCTTGTACAAGTCTGACAGTATAGTGCTGTCAGTTTGTGAGATTTCCATACCTTTCACAGGTCACTGTCTGGGTCATGACACAATCTCTCAATTATTTACAGAATTGTTATGTAAAGACCGCAATGCACTTTGGGACACCAAACCAATCCATATTATATTCAAACCTTCGGTAAATGAAGTCACAACATGACAACCCATCATCTGTACAAAATAATCACATGATCATGTGACTAATAGGCCAGCACCAGGCAACTGTGTACAAGCCGAAGTATTTTCCCTAATTTCTGTACCATGTACATTTATCATGGTTTTATCTTCCTTACAGTCATGCCAACACTCTGTGGGTGGATGTGTCAGACGAAGATGACATCGCCAGAGTAACCACAACATGGATGATCACGTTAGAGAAACAAGGCTGCTCTGTCATGGTGAAAGCAGGTAAAAACAGTTAGGAACTTGTCACGTTCGAAAACTTTCAATGGTCAGTGTCAGTTTTAGCTTGCTGTAACTCCATAGTCAATTTGGCCCAAAAGGGGAAATTTTGTATAAATGGTATGTCTCATCCCCTTGGGGCCTGAGGAGCAGGGCCCAATAGGGGTAACAGAGAAAAATCTTTAAAATCTTCTCCTCATGCGGGAATGCCTTAATTTTCACTGAAGCATTGTTGGATGAAGAGGAATCAATTTCTTATAAATGGTGGGTCTCCATCCCCTTAGGTGGCAGGAGGGAGGGAGGGTGCCAGCCCAATAGGAGAAATAGAACAAATTCTTGAAAACCCTACTCCTCCTGTAGGAATGATTGGGTTTTGTCAAAATATAGTCTGAAGCATTGTTGGGTGAAGGGAAATCAATTTGGTATGGATGGTAGGTCTTGGCCTCCTGAGGTGAGGTCCAATAGGGGAAATAGAGCAAATTCTTTAAAATCCTACTCCTCGTAAAGGAATGATTGTATTTTGCATGAATTTGGTATGATGCATTCTGGGGTGAAGGGAAACAATTTTTTTTATAAACAGTGGGTCTCAGCCATCTTTACTTGATTAAGAAACCATTGTTTTGAATTGATAAGGCTTCAAAGTGGTTTTGTGATGTAACCTTACCTAGGACATCATCTTATCGGGACATGTCTACTATTGTTGTAGGTGCTGAGGGTGTGATACAGGCTATGGTGTTGAGCCTTGGAGCATTAAGATTTGCTAATGATCACCTGGAATTTGCCATGGAGCCCAAGGACCTACATCGGGATCTGTTTTTCCACAGAATTAACTATGGGAATAATACACACGTTAATGTGTCCGTTATAGTTGGTGAAGACAACAGGGCTAATATATACGTGGCCCTAGATCGTAATGATCGACCATACTATGCTTGTGATGCTGGCTGTATTGATGCCCCAGCAGCTCTCAGGTAAATATCAAGGCCATTATTTTAGAAAATTGAGCACGGAATGGGGAATAAAAGGCTAATTTATTCCATAAAAAAACAATACAAATTGTCCTGGATTCCTATCTTGAACTCTTTTGATTTTTGGCAAATTAACAATAAAGAAATGAGCTGTGTAAACAAATTTTTTTTAATTGGAAAATTAAAATTTATACAGAAATAAACAAAAAATATAAATGTTGCTTTAATTACAGTAAGGAGCTGAAGCAGTTCCCAGTGAAACAGACTAAGCCACTAACTTCCATCTTGTACATAACAGCTGACAAAATTCACATGGAGGAGCTCAAACATGCCATCCACGTGGAAAACATAGTAGAAGGTAAAACACCATGACACTCGTTATGTATATTTCAGATCACTACACTGGTACGAGGGTGGTCTAGTGACATGTTGATCACTTTTCACCTTGCTGTCAGGAGTTGATTCCTGAAAATGGTATGAAAAGGTATGGGGTCACCTGCCAGATCCTGTGGGTTTTCCTTGGATACTCAAGTTTCCCCCTCGCACACTTCAATGCAAGCCAACAAGAGTGATTGTGATGTGTTCTGATGATCACTTTCATTGAGCATTGCTGAAAAAATTATCTGACCAAGTGATAATCTGTTTGAAATGCCACTTTTTATTGGCTGTTATATTAGTGGTAATCTTTAATTACCAGTCAGATGTTGTAAAACAGGGGTAGGGATAACCTAGTTTGAAAACGTTTTACGCCTTACCGCTGCTCAAGGTATTTAAGCAATAAATGATATAATGAAGGATGATATTCTGATGTTATGATCACATGGATTTTTAACCTTTTATATGATAGGTTATTTACACTGAATCATTTAGGAAAGATGATTACAACATCAGTAGAGATGTAAGCAGCCCAATGAAGGTTTTCAGGGCATATGTGACAATTTTCTATATTCCATCAATTCAGACATTATTTTGTGAAAGCTTATGTTAAAATCAGTTCAATCTTAGGCTTTGAACCAGAAATGTATTCTTGGAACTTAAAAGAAGACAGCATAATGAGGACATTGACATTACCTGGTGTGATGACCCTTGAATCATTGTTAAAAAAATTTGATAAACTAAACACAATTTATCATAAATTTCCATTCATATTCAATTATTTTCTCATCATGTCTTTTGAAAAATAATCTTTGTTTCTTTGATATGCATACCAAAGAAAAGGAAAACTTAGTAGTATGGCACCAAATGACAAAGTGTTTTTAACCAATTTTTATGCTTGGATTGGGCTAGCCAATTAAAAAAACAAATGCACCAGACTTCCATGGACCTAGCACGACCTTACATGTTAGCGGGTTGTTCTCTTGTAAAACGGGTCGTTCTGTTAGGGAGTTGCAAGGTGTGATAAGTTGGCAGATTGGAATGGGTCAATGGTTACAGAATGCGTCCAGGTGTGAGACATAGCCCTAGAGCCCTTGAATCCATAGTTTTTGTCCTCACTTACCTGTGATTTACCTTTGAGAGTTTTTTTGTGATAATTGTTGCTCTCATAAAAATAAGTGACGTCAGATACTGGATTACTTCAAATATATAGTGAAAAAAATCGACACTTCAAGAAAAGGTGATATTAACCAGATAATGACATTAACAGAAGTGACATTAAATGGTTTCCAATGTATTACCCAATAGCTTGCTTGGCATTTGTTGTAAAATAAGTACCATAAATTTTCGCGTATAGTGCGCACTTTTTCAAGCTAAAACTGTCGTGTTTAAAAGGGGGTGCGCATTATACGCAGGAACATGCCATTCTTGGGGCTATCATTCCCGAGTTCTGCGTCCGCCATATTGGATTACCTCCCTTCACATAGTTATATGTAAAAGTCGTCGGTCATTTTTGATAGTTTGGAGATAAAAACAACAAAAATAAAATAAATTAAAATAAATTTCGAATGTTTTAATCATCGGCCATTCATGCTAGCATTACGGTGAATCTAATTTTTTTAAGTTTGTATTTTAGCACTGGTACTTCTGGCAAAAATGATAAGTTTGTAATTGAGTTATATGGTCCTGTATAAGATATAGAGAAATATTGCTCTTCTTCCTGCTTGGGTGTCAAATTTTTCCCAGACCGCCGCGAGTAGGGGAGGGGAATTAATGTAATGTGCATAATGCTTTAAATACAACTAATGTTTGTATTCTGTTGATCATTGTTTTACCTGATTGCAATTGACACATACATTGTGTCAATTATGGAAATATATGTATGATGGGTGTTGCTTAAAAGTGTAACACATTATCCTAATACATTTTGCTGTTAAATGTAGGCCTCTTGGATCACATTACAGGATGTTGATTTCTGACTTTCAGGGTTTATTTATTTGTTTATTTATTTATTTATATTTATTTATTTATTTTTCAGCACCAGCCCATGAGCATCATGTGATTGCCCTCCACAAGCATGGCCATCACTTTGGGGGTCTGCCCACCATATTCTGGGCGTCCATTGCATTCCTTGTCATCGTGTTCCATATGTTCCTGTGTAAACTGATATATAATGAATACTGTGCCGGCCAGGATCGCTTCATAAGAGGTCGTTACAATGTATAACACATGTAGGCCCCTCTTGTAGGGGCACTTCACTAAACATTATGCTTTATATCATACCAATATTTTGGAGACATCCATTTTTTTGGCAAAATTCTTTTTCATAAAACAAATAAGGAATGATAACATATTTGTGTTATGTGGATGAAACAGAGACTGAACTTTTTCAATATTTTGAAGGACTGAATATTTATTTTCCTGACAAAAAAGAAAAAAAACTTCATTAATTTCACTCATTGTTCAGTTTGTTTGGCCACATCACACATCAAAAAGTTTCTCATCACACATCAAAAAGTTTCTAACATGTTTATTGAGTTATAACAGATGAACTGAATTGACTGCATTGTAACATATATATCACTGGGTTAATTCAGTACCTTTTTCTTCAATCAGGGTTGGCGTTGGATATTTTATAAAATTAAATTGGCCCTGCTGTATATTTTGAAAAGCAATCTCAAAAATAACTGGGTTCCTTTTTATTGATGTCTATGCTTCTAAGGGCTGTGGGGATGGCTCTGACGTAAACTCTGTGAATCAAAGATACAAACATGGTGATAATATTTGATCAACCCTGATATCCTAGAACTATTCTGATAATGTTGTGATTATGTATAGGGTTTGTTTACTGTCGTTGTGAATCCTACTACCAATAAGGAGGGTTTCGGGGATGATGACAGGTGATATACCAAAAGTAAGAAAACCTCATCAATATTTGGATTGGATGCTGTGCTGGATTCTGATATCCATACTGTGTCCTGTTTTACTGTGAGATCAGTTTTACGAATCAGATGTAAATATGGTTTATTTAAATAGTAGAATTGTGACTATGTTGACATATTAGTATTTTGTTGTTGTTTTCTATCAAATACATATTTGCTTAAATGACACAGTAATGTAAATACTTGTAATTTATGATATTGATGTAAGATTTATGACGATAATTAAGACGAATATTGACGTTATTTATAAAAATAGTAACACAAATAGTTAATTCAGAAACAGAGAAAGGATCCTATGATTGTAGCCATAAAGACAACAATGGGAGATATAAACATTGTTTATCCAATACATATCACCAATTGCTGATTTCACACAACATATTTATCCCACATAGACGATATGCATTGGAAATAGTAAAGGTGGACAGGGATAGTTGTCTTAAAGCTGAAATCTCTTTTTTCTACCAACACTGTTATGCAATCGCCACAATCAATAAGATCAAGATAAAACTTCATTGGTTATATTATAAAACCATAAAAGTTGATTATCTCAGGTTAAGTGTATTGATGATTGACCTGAAGTTGACTTATCTAACACAAGCTTCATCTCCTGATCAATCTCTTAGGGCAAATATTCATACAAGCCTCATCTCCTGATCAATCTCTTATAGCAAATATTCATACAAGCCTCATCTCCTGATCAATCTCTTAGGGCAAATATTCATACAAGCCTCATCTCCTGATCAATCTCTTATAGCAAATATTCATACAAGCCTCATCTCCTGATCAATCTCTTAGGGCAAATATTCATACAAGCCTCATCTCCTGATCAATCTCTTAGGGCAAATATTCATACAAGCCTCATCTCCTGATCAATCTCTTATAGCAAATATTCATACAAGCCTCATCTCCTGATCAATCTCTTATAGCAAATATTCATACAAGCCTCATCTCCTGATCAATCTCTTAGGGCAAATATTCATATAATACCTTTTCGTCATTCACTTTCTATGGAAAGAAATGTTTTATCATTGTAACATGGGTTGTTTCTACCATCAGCCATGATAAGGTAAATTGTTTAAGCTGTTCATAATCTTCAGTAGACAAAGTCTGATGCCCTATCTTATTATTCTGAAATAAACATTGACAATACTTTTAAAAAAAAATAGTAGAAATAATTAAACTTTTCTAGAGGGGTGTTAACACAGTGCAGTTGCAGTTAAAACTTGCTTGAAAGTGTGAAATGTATTGATTTTGAATGTAGCACCCAGTACTCATATGATTGCATTAGTAGTGGAAGAAAGATTTAAAACATTAACATAATTGTTGGAAGTAGCAGTTTACATATACTGAGTATAGCTAAACAAAGTATTATCTGTGTAAAATTTACTTGATTTGTTCAGAGAAGTTGTTAAGAAGGGGAATATTTAGCAGTCTCACTGTGTTACAGTGTTTCTTGATAGTCTCACAGACTTCCCAACATTAGAGAAAAATTCAGGTTCTGCTGCCCCTGTTGTGACCCCAGGGATTTAATTTTGTTGGTTTCAGTGCTTTATCAATATTGTCTTTGTAGTCATATTTTGTGTTTTTATGATGACAAACAGAAAACCATTTGTTATTACTTACATAAGTAGTACCCATTACGAGGCAGACAAGATCCTGTTCTATTGTAGAACTATGACTAAGTAGTAAAGCTACACAAGTTCATTAGATCACACACTGATATGTGTCATGTTAGATTGTAGAAAATAACCTTCACATGTATGGTCATCTTTATAGGTATTTCTTTCTGAAATATTTTGTGGTGGAAAATGCATTTTTGCTGCTAGTGCAACTTAACTATGAGTTTTTGCTGTGTTTTGTCTGTGTTGTGTATGAAGGTATATATATATATAAACAGACACTGCTGTAGAAGTCTGGTATATTAAGCTGTGGTAGCCATACATAACCCATGACTCAAAGTAGGAAGACTGGTTTATTTCAATACACTGATATAACAGTTGTTGACATTGTAGAACATTTTCTTTGGGTTGGTAATGTCAATAGAATAGGAGTTGTTATAACACCAGTAAGAGATTTAAGTGTGACATTTTATCTTTACCTCCATACACAACACAAGACTATTTCAATGAAGATGGCCAGGTAGTCATGGAAATGCTTTAATTTTCTACTGGTTTTATTATAAGAATTTCTTGCAGTTGTTAACCGTTTGACTGAAACTGCAATTGGATTTGGATGAGCTTACTGCCAATCAATCAAGTGGTGTGCATATGAAACCATTTAAGTCTTGAAGTGTGTCTGTGATTTGTATTTTATGACATTACAATATTAAGATGTTTACTTCAGATATCGTCATGTGATAATCTAAGAAATCCACAAAAACAACATCCAGGCTCCCCTTGTTAGCAAAATACTGATCACTTAAGTATTTCCCCTTAATAGAATTTTACTGTGAGCATTTTCAAAAAAGCTTTCAAGGTTTTCCATAGTGGTGTCATCAACCATGGCAAAATTGGAAACATATACAATGTTTACTATGCATGTTTATGGATATGTATTTTGTAGATATAAGCACAAACACATAAAGTAACGTGTTTATAATAGAAAAGGATACAAAACATTGGTAAGGATGATGGGACTATTTATAGAGAAATGTTTGTGAGGACATTGTTTAATATACCTAGATACCTAATGTATCATTGTTATATGTTAATGACATATTCCTGGGAACTTCAAAATATTGTAGCCATGGAAATTCAAGCACTTTTAATTGTTGCATTTTTCTTGAAGATTTTTTATAAGTTTTTCTCAGTATCAAATTAAAGTTTGTAAACTAGCCAGATCAAATATTTAGGTAATGATAATGTTCCTGGGATTTATATATATCAGTAATATGTAAAACTAGGCTGTTGAAATAGCTGCCAGTCAGTAATTGAAAACCAACTGTTAGTTTATCAGAATGTATTGTGCTTACCGTTATACACATGGCACTTGGTATCATCAGATTTGTGCTTGGCCTTTAATTAGAATTTAATAAGACATGAAAGCATTATGAAGTGAGGTGTATCTGACGTCAGAATTTGTTCGAGGTAGAATAAAAATAGGAAAGTTCTTAGAAGTGCAGTGTATTCCATGAAGACCATCATTTATCATCACTTTTCTTGTTTTCTCATTAAATTTCATTAGACATTGCCTACATAAGGAAGAACACGTCCAGCTTGTCACATGCAGGAATTTTTTCCTTGGTGCCTGATGTTTCTGAGAGAGATAAGTTGTCTTTGAATTAGATTTAAGATGCTTTAGAAGGAACTAATGAGTGATAATTATCTTCAATATGTTTAATAAATACTTACTGTACTTTCTTTGTTACTCGGATACATTATCATATCAATGTCATTTTACAGAAAAATTCATTTTACAGTTATCCATATGTGTATCATGATATCATATATTGTAAGTTTCAATGTGTGAATGAACTGTTATTGATCACCAGTGTGAGAATGTCTGTCTGTAGTGGGGTTACAGTGTTGGGTGTAAAATAGACAGTTTAAGTGACAATTAAGTAGAGGCTGTTGCTGTCTCTGTTGTTAACATTTTACCAAGTTGTGGCTGTTATGAAAGGTATCTTTATATCTGAATATTTAACTGAATGTCCTGTTATTTTAACAGTTTAAAAAAACTCTGGTCAAGAATCTTCTAACTTAAACAATGGAAACTACGAGAATGAAAAAGAGCAAAGCTCTCCCACTGCCGATCCTTACAGTTTCAAGGGCATTTAATATATCAACCCTGGAGAGATATATAAATATACAAGTTTTTTTTTCATGACAGACAAATTAGAGGGTTTTAAAACCACTACACCACAAGGTAATAAGCAATGTCCAAGCATGTTTCCATTTTAATTTTGAAATGTCTTCATTGATGTTCGCAAGATCATCAAATAATTCCTTTCCAGGTAGCGGAGTTTAACGAGTTTATGACTGCTGTACTCATGTACATACTGATTCGGGGAAAATGTGGAAGCTTGTCAAGAAAGTAGAGTTATATATTATCATGTTATTTATTGAGTGTGTTTTGTGGATGTTAAATGTAAATGTTGACAGGATACATGGACACTACTTCAGTGTTTTGTGGACGTTATATGTGATTACTGACAGGATACATGGACACTACTTCGGTGTTTTGTGGATGTTATACGTGATTACTGACAGGATACATGGACACTACTTCAGTGTTTTGTGGATGTTATATGCGATTACTGACAGGATACATGGACACTACTTCGATGTTTCTTTGACACTATGTATGTGACGAGCGGAAGTAATTAGTGTTGTTGATTCTTTTGTGTACTTTGTGATATCATATTCTTTTGTCTCCAAGAAAAACTATACTTCAAATTTACACCATATGAAAACAGAAAAGTTCTTCAGTAAAAATATTTTCATGATACAATATTCACTTTATTTTTATTCATGAATGGCAGTGATCATTTTATCCAAAGCATTTGGCATAAATGTCTCGCCCAAGGACACGTTGACAGCAGCAAAGGATTCAGTTCAGAACAGTCCATGATATCAGTATCCTGAGAAACACAAAACACCCAGTAGGTATTGTTGAACCATACACCCTTGTATATGATGTGGTACGAATGTTTTGAAAATTGCACAACTTATGAACACTAAAAATGACTTTGAAAATTCTTTTTCTTAGAGACAATGGATGTTAACATGTTAATAATACAGGCCTTGGAGGGGTAACTGGTTTATGTACAGCTGTGGGAACTTTGACTAGCAATGTAAATATATACTTATTTTTATATCCAGGGAGTTAAAAATTGATGTTTGTATGATAGTGCTAAAGTTATCATGGATGCTTCACATTGTTTGTTGACTAGTAGGGAGTAATATTCTCCATCAGGTCACTCACATCACAAAGACAAGTTTTGATCAATTAAGGAAAATATGCAAATAATAACAAAAACAAAAAAAAACAATAAAAAAAAAACACAAAAAAACAAAAGAAAAATACTTGGAATGATTTTTTATTGAAATTCATTTTTAGTCAACATTCTTTGTGGAGGGTCTGTGATAATATGTGGTTGCCTGTTCTGTGGTTCAGATAGATTGTGTGAATGGGTTTTCAAATTAATGATTAATTTTTTATCTAATTTTAATCAATAAAATGACACAATTCTAATGTTGAGTTTTCTTTATTCAATTTGACAATTTCATTGTTGTTTTGACCAGCACAGATAGGATCAGAGAAAGGATAAGCCTGCAGTCTATTACTAATTATCTGAAGAGATGGCAAATTGTTTTAGCCCTGCTCGATCAGGGATGTTTCTTCTGATTTCTACTTTGTATAAGACATTGGAGAGTCCAAGAATAAGACTGGCTGTTTTCTAATGTGTGCTTTTGAAGGAGCTGACTGTAAAACCATCCACTGCAAAATTTAGGATTTCCTTCCATGTGTTCTACTTGGGAGACATGATGAGACCAACACTGATCCTCCCATTACATCTAATTGGATCCTGTTTGCTCCCTTGGTGCTGAAGACACCCATCATCATATGACCCTGATTATTGCCAGCGGTTCGAGGATGTCACATCCTAAATACAAAACAGTAAGGTACCTTATATCCGGATATTTTTTGCGGTGTGCAATTTTGTTGAAAAAAAACCCAAAATGCACTTTTTGCAATTTTTTTGCATATTTGATTTTTTGTGATTTCATAATCCACAAAAAATTAAAAGGCCCCTTTTGAATACTTCATAATGGACACAGCTTACATATACACCAGTATAGAGATTCTAACATAACTGGCTACTGACTAGTAATACTAGATAAGAGATGTACATACTGACTAGTAGGTATGGATTACAGAAGTATTCACGGCTTGAAAGTGTTCAGGCGCCTGCACTCAAAAGATGCATAAGTTTAAACATATTTTATTTGACCAAAAATCAAGTGGAAATGGACACAAGTTAAACAACTTAGGAACGTCCACTTCCATAAACAATTATACAAGGTTACATATATATATGGCAGCATTTCATGAAACATTGAATCATTGATTTATACATAAAATAAACATTACTGTATACTGATGGAAAAATTCCCAATATCAGCAGCTTTATAATATTACTAGTAAGATATAAAAGATGCATTACTCATGCTCCAAGTGTGAAAGTTTCTTCAGGACTACAGGTATCTAATACGTCTAGAGGATCCAAACATGGAAGTCTTCTTCTTTATCATCCACATGTAACAGTGTTCTTCAGGATCCAAGCGCGACCGCCTTCTTGATTATTAAAATATGACAGTCTTATAGACTCCGCATTGGCAGATCAAAGTGTGGCATTGCTATAGTCAGTCAGCAGAAAACTGGTCGTTCCTATATCTTAAGCAAGGATGATATTCCATTAAGGGGATGCAGTGTGACGTTCAAACACAAAATGTGTCCGTCTTCTTCTCATTTAATAGCTTAATAGATAATAGCTTTCCTGAAGACCTAATGTGGTGCTCTACAAGCAGAATTCAACGCTGGTAATACGGATACGTTGACCTGGTAGAATCAAGCATGATATGTGTTCCCTAAATTTAATTAAATGCACGTCCATCTTGTAAGAGCCAGTGCAGAGTTTTAATTACTTAGTGTGATACACTGAGGCGTTCTCGTAACCGGATGGAGTGAACTTCCCATTCAGTGTGAGTGTGTTATTGTTGAAGGACAAAGTATAGCACGTAGAGATTTTCTTATAAACTCAAACGTGATATCCTTACAAGACTAATGTGTGACATTCTTCATCAAATGTGTCAATATTGCATTCTCCTCGGATAACACGTTGCAATGCACGGTGTAGTACACTCATGGTAGTGTAGAAGTCAGAATGACATTATTTTAGAAGAATGGTCCTTGATTTCCTAATAGAATCCAATGTGTCATTCTTCAAAAGTATGGCATTCTCATGGTAGAAAAGAATGGAAGTTGTTAGAATGGGACATCGATTTTACAAAAGACAAACACTTGAATAGCACCTTTCAATATAGAATTAGATAATGTATAGTTGCAGCTGTTTCGTCATTCCTGGACTCGTCAAAGATAATATATCAATGTATACATTTTGACTACCGACACATGTGCAGTGGGTGCGGTGACATACCTATCTACTTATCAAGCTTTCCTTCAGGTAAACAAATTGTGTAAACAACTGAAGTCGGTCATCCAAATACTTAACATGACCCTTGTTAGGTTTACCAACACCCAAATAAGAATATCATCTGAACGTTAATCTACACCACATTTACCACGTTGATTGTTTGTGGTAAAATCGTGTATACACTGTTGTTGTCCCGATACATTCGATAAACATAGACCTTTTCCTGGTGTGGAAATGTGACATCAACCTAACATAGCATTCCCGACTTTCTTTTACTCTTTATCTCTGCGACAACACGTAACCCGGATATGTGAATCGACAACACCAATGATGATAAACTGCTCTGAAATCTTTCGATCTGCGAGCTACCATATCAACAAAACAATCCGCTATAACAGGATTTAAAAGTGGCTGCTTATATTTGGTTACTTAATTAATATGCAAAAAAAAACCTCTTCTGTTACAAAATCACCAAAGCATGTCAAAGAGAAAGGCCATGTATGTTTTTTGCATTACAACAAAAGAATGTGTTTGAAAGACGGGCGAGCTCAAACGTGCTTAAAATTCTCACTTTGGCCTCCATACTTTTATATACTCCCGCTAAAGGAGATGTAGTAATTACTTTGCGCGTGCGTGACTCCATGTACCAAAGATTGTACAAACGACACACACACAAGTGAACAGCACCTTTTCATGATTCAGAGTGAGATGCAGTAGAGTCAAACAATGAATTAATCTGCATCATACAGCTGTTTCGTCCTTCTAGGACTCCTCAGTGATGCTACATCATACCGCTGTTTCGTCCTTCTAGGACTCCTCAGTGATGCTACATCACACAGCTGTATCGTCCTTCTAGGACTCCTCAGTGATGCTACATCATACGGCTGTTTAGTCCTTCTAGGACTCGTCAGTGATGCTACATCACACAGCTGTATCGTCCTTCTAGGACTCCTCAGTGATGCTACATCATACAGCTGTTTCGTCCTTCTATTTTTGATACATCAGATAACTTTATAATAGCGTCAAGTACATGTGTATTTTCTGAACCGTGCCACTATTCGAGTGACTTAAAACGTGGCAAGCAGGTTACGGAAAACCTTGAGGCCATGTTATTCAGATATATATTTTGTCTGAGGTGAAACCTAAATGTTATTATTACAGTTTTTTCCTCTGTGATCTATTTCAATGTATCTCCTGAATGTGATATGCCTTTTATGTTAATTTTTGAGTGGTATATGTTGGTTCATGTAACTTGTAGACAATAAATTTGCTTACTGGCCATAAAATAGATACTTGATATAGAATAACTAAATGAATAATATAGGAGACGATACCCGGACACGGGAGGTGTCATGGAGACGAAAAACCTGTCAATAGTATAGTATAACAGTTGTATCCAGGCTGTTGTTCTCACGGCTCTTTACAAAGAAGGAATAAGATGGAGACTTCATGGGGCATCAAAACATGATTAAAGGTTGGTTTAATTACTTCTGCTAAAACAGATCCTTGCTGCTTCAAATATTTAAACCGCGAAAATTTTCACCACAGAAATTACATTCTTACAGTATATAATAGATAAATACAGCTTAGACTTCGTTTCAGATAACAATTTTTACTTCTAAATATCTTGTGTTGAGATATATAATTGTAAATAGGTCTCTATGGTCGTTATTAGGTATGCGCGAACACGTTGCAAATAGGTGCTAATATCCTAAAGTACCTACACATTAAGTCCGTTTTGTTCTTCAAAAGAAATAAATCGTTGTCATTTTGAGATTGAAATTTCAAAATTAAAAGAAACAACATTCTGATCGATTCAATATATATATATGCAAGGAAATAAACAAGTGTTATATTACATTTCAAAATAGACTGTAGTAGGAATTAGGCAACATCTATAGTCTCGGTAATATTCCAGACCGCGTGTGTTTACATACCTAACCTGTACGTTGTTATCTAGCATGCAGATATGACGTCTGTCTGTGTACACTAAGATTATGAATGGAAAAGTTTGTAACTCAATAGTAAACAATGGGCCGATGTGTGTCCAGTCACGTGATCACTCAGTTGGAGGTGTGTCAGTGACGCGATAGTCGTTATCCAATGAAAACATTCAACGCAGCACGATTGTATGTTGAAACTCGGATGTATGATGAAACACGGGTATACATACAAACTGTTATGTTACCGCAGATTTAGTTGTAAACAATATTCGACCTATCAACACTGAAGCTGTAACTTCACACTCGGAAAAAATGGAATCGGTAAGAAAATGCCTCATCGTTACAACACGGAAACTAAATCCTGTTTCGACAGTTTCCAGATGTGTTGGAACTCGGACCAAACAACATCGAGAAGATCAAATTTCCGACGGACGATCGTTCCAAGTAAGGGTTTATTTTTGCCTATGTTACATGTATTAGATACTTCCCGCTATATCTACGTGTGTGTTTTATTACTTCATCTTTCTGGACCTACATTCTATATAAACAATAAATGTAGAATATTTACATTATAGGACATTAGGTACACAATTTAATATATTACATAATATCACGGACTTAAATATACAAGTCCGTGATAATATACTGGAAACAAAAACTAAAAACGCAGAAATCTGTGACACAAAGCATCATTCAACACAAACGAAAAAATCCTAGATGTTTATATACTTCCGATAAACATGGACACATCTATTATAAGTATGGTATTAAAACAACGTTATTCTATACAAGTTCGGCGGATGAGTTCTATAGGCATACATACATTCAGCATTATATCATATATAATATATTGTCTCGTGACTATCGACTTATTCTACAAAGTTAGTAGGGAGTTTATCGAATTCCTTGTGTTAACCCGATGTAAATGTGACTCGACTTTCTAGGAATTTAAATATATCACGCCATTCGTGCTCTCGCATTATATCTATATATATATATATATATACACCACTCATATATAGTGTAACTTGTTGTAAATGAGCGCGGCAATATACACGGGCTGGTACGGTATTTCAACATACATCTTTATAAAACTGACTTGTTGTATATTGAGTTAAAGTGTTACTATTTCAAAGACGATTTAACTTATCTTAAGATATGTATATTAAGCTGTAAATACGACTTACAATAATATACAATCTATTACGTCAGAAAATGGAATAATAGCGTTTTGCATTCCCGACACATATTTTCTTAAGATAAGTAGATTTATGTACCCAAGTCGTTTTATTTGAATGTCAGATATAAGGATAAACTGTGGTATGTTAAATTATTTAACCCAAGATGAAAACAATTATGTCCGTAAATGAGGATATTACAAATATCCATAGTGCATTTATGTTAGGAACTTGTGTCTCCTATACGCTTCCGTAGGCTGGTGAGAGTCAACATTTGGTTATGAGAAAAGCGTATTTTATACACGGTATGACTAATCTGTAAATACGTTATATATAGTTGCACCAATATCAAATATCTCGTTGTTTTCGGAGATTCAGCATAATCTTTCAGTGGGAGACATTTTATACTAGAAGGTACCTTACCTGTTGTAATTTGATCATAAATAGACATTGTAAATGATGATAGTTTTGTACATCTATATTAACACTGCGTTTTCGCGCTTTCACGTTCAGTGTGTAAGTCTGTATGTATGTCTCTGTGTATGTCTGTGTGTATGTATGTGTGTATGTCTCTGTGTATGTCCCTGTGTATGTCTCTGTGTAAGTCTGTGTGTATGTCTCTGTGTATGTCTGTGTGTATGTATGTGTGTATGTCTCTGTGTATGTCCCTGTGTATGTCTGTGTGTATGTCTGTGTGTATGTCCCTGTGTATGTCTCTGTGTATGTCTGTGTGAATGTCTGTGTGTAAGTCTGTATGTATGTCTGTGTGTAAGTCTGTGTGTATGTCTCTGTGTATGTCTGTGTGTAAGTCTGTGTGTATGTCTCTGTGTATGTCTGTGTGTAAGTTTGTGTGTATATCTCTGTGTATGTCTGTGTGTATGTCCCTGTATATGTCTCTGTGTATGTCTGAATGTATTTCTTTCTTTCAATATTGTTCGAATCGGTAATATATGTTTTCCCTCTATTTCTGTAATTCTTTATCGTTTGAGAAATTAAAGGAAATAGTAATAAAACATTAGATTTTTAGGAATATAGCATATTTTTAAAACAGGAAACATATTTTATTCTAGGAGATACATAAATAACTTTCTTCAATGTATGCTAGCTGGCCAAAGTCATTATATAATGACACATAATATTTTGTGACCCGCAGGCCAAAGACACAATGGTGTATCGGACAAGCAGACCTAAGGTCAAACCGGACAGAGATACGCTCAGTTTCGGTAACGTTTTTACTGACCACATGCTGACTGTGCAGTGGGAAGGCCAGTGGTCAGCCCCAGTTATATCTCCACTGAAGAACCTATCCCTCCACCCGGCAGCTAAAACTCTCCAGTACTGCACACAGGTATAATGATGTAGAACTGAACGAGGTTCTTATCATTGACATCAGAAAGAAATGGCCTTTATGTACAAGTTCTGTTACGATTGCCAAAAGTTTTAAGTTAACTTATATCTGATGTCAGTTGTTGGTGTTGTAGTGAATGAGTGATCGTTTCCAAATATTTCATCGTAAAGTCGAAGTTTATGAACAAATTACGACATCCAACAACCCACGTGGTAGATGGCTGTAAGGATGCAGTTTAAATGCCTCGCAGTGGTCTGGTGAGAAGGTGATCTACCTATATCTTAACCTTAGTTGGGTTGTAGGTAACACATCCTCCTCATACTCCATGGGTTACGCTCACTGCAGTTCTCTGCACCCCCAGTCTGTGATTGGTCATTTTTTTTCCCGGAACCAGCTTTAGACCAATCCAGTTACTAAGCTTGTGCCTTTAATTTTGCCACATCATGTTCAGGTGTTGTAGAGAGTGATAGTGAGTGTAATCCTTGAAATATCGAGGATTATACCTCATTTGTGACCAGGCAAATTAAAATAAAATTGTCATCTTGTGAAGTATCTGAAATTTAAAAATGATTCATAGGATATTATTTATTTGTAAGCTTATAAATCTTGGGTAAAGGAGTATTTTCGTACATTGTAACATTGTCCTTACACAATGCTAAAACTTTTTTTTGGGGGGGGGGGGGATGGGGGGGGGAGTTGGGTTGTTATTATCAGATAGTTCAACACGACTCAACGTATGAATTTTGGTGTATTTCGTTACCTCGGCCCGCTGTACTGTTGTTGTTATAACAAATGACGACCGTTGTAAGAGATAGTGCTTGTAACTAAGTGTACAAATTTTTACAATAATTCAATGTATTTAATTATGAAAATATTGCTTATTAACGTCCCTGTTTTAGGTATTCGAGGGTATGAAAGCGTTCCGAGGTTATGATGATAAAGTTCGACTTTTCCGACCAATGGACAACATGAACAGGATGGTGGGGTCTGCCGAGAGAGCAGGACTTCCGGTGAGTTGAAATATTACGTTCCTCAGTTTGAAGAGAAAAATATTCTATCAGATATTCGGATAAATATGGAGATGATCTTTTGTATCTTACCACAAAATAATCTGCAGGCTTATTATCTAAATTTTCTTTTTCTTTGAAAATCGCTGTTTTCAATAACATTTGGAACATTTTTCATGGCATTTAACAGACGTTTGACTCCGCGGAGCTACTTGGGTGTTTGATGAAGCTGTTGAGCGTGGACAAGTCCTGGGTCCCTAGGGCTACCCCAGATCTACCTTATTCTGTCTACCTTCGGCCGACTATGATAGGGACAGAGGTATGCTTTTCTGATTGTCTCCTGTTTCATGTTTAACTGTATTAAAATGTTTTGCCATGAAACGAAATCATGTATGTTTATAGAAGCCAAGGTTTCGTGTTTTCAATATGTAATTTTACATCAAACAGTGCCACTACAATCTTATTCAAACTACATGGGGTCATTATAAATCAGAACACCTTTGATGTGGATTTTCACCATACTCTTTCCGTTACAGCCTGCCTTAAAGGTAGACAAGCCTGGGTCATGTCTGCTCTATGTCGTCGCCGGACCAGTGGGCCCATATTTCAAGACAGGAATGGAAGCTGTGTCACTTTTGGCGGACCCTAAATACGTCAGGGCCTGGCCCGGGGGCTCGGGCATGTACAAGATGGGATCGTTAGTATCATTAAATGTTTAGTGTATTGTTTATAGAACACCGTTTATTTGTTATTTACCAGAGTAAATGTAAACAAACAGAGAACATTTATCTATGATATCTTATTTAAAGGTGTCAATCTACTACCAGATATTTTCATGTTTCAATAAAGAGTAGTCTCCCGTGCAGAAGAGGGTTTGACTCGCTGACAAACTGGACTAATTAAATAAAATAAGATATTTCATTTCACTTCGTCCCTCGTTACACCAATCGAATGTAATATTGAGTGAAGCGAAATAAACTGACTTCTTACTCATCTTGAAATCATAATCACGTGATCTGCAGTCTTATAAATTTTTGGTAGCAACTTTTGAATTGCAGTTATTTGTAATTCACAATCTTTCAACATTTCAACATATTAGCAGTCGTTGGTCTGGTATTAAGGATAGCGCCATGTAAAGGACGAAAATGACGTGTTTTTAAATTTCAATCATTCAGGTATGGAAGCTAAATTTGATCGTGATATTTCAGAAACTACGCGCCAACAATACACGTGCAGAAGGCGGCACTACAGGCGGGGTGTCAACAGGTGCTATGGTTACAGGGAGACGAAGAAGAAATAACAGAAGCGGGAACGATGAATTTGTTTCTTTACTGGATCAATCCTGACGGAGGTAGGTCCAGACTCTCTGTCTACCTGGCCTTATTTTAAATAAAACATCATCATACGTTTTTATCTTAATACCCGATGCCTTCCCTTCTTGTAGAAATGCTTTTAACCAACAGCAATAATCTGTGGAGAGTCTGATCATAGTGAAAATGGCGAACATATAGCTACCACGATATGATTCTGATACCACTACTAATATCATACAATTATTTTGAACTAATGTCAAGACTAAGTCTGCTTGTCGCTCAGACTTGATTGTTCATCTTTGTGCGCGAAATTTGTTTGGAAAAGTCGTACATGGTTGAGTGTGGTTTCCATTTGTGTATGGAACTGATCAAAAATATTGATTGCGAGTTTTCAGAACCAATTTGATGTTGATTATACATTGTTTCTAGAGAAGGAGCTGGTAACAGCGCCGCTAAATGGTTTGATACTACCAGGAGTCACTCGCCAGTCTGTGATAGATCTGGCCAATCAATGGGTGAGTAACTCAAGTGCCCGTATGTGAAACGTAATAGTTCCCCCCCCCCCCCCCCACTCCTCCATCCCATGGTTTGTTTGTTTGTTGACAAGTTTTCATTCTCCGCGACTCCTCCCGTTGTCAGTGTTCTGAAATGTTTACGTCAGTCAGAGACAAATATTTCGTCATATTGTACCGAGTCCTAATTTGAAATGATTTGAATATTAAACCACAAACATCGCACAAGGTCCTAGCTGAATTTATCGATTAAACTTTTTTGTTTAAAGGGTGAATTCAAGGTGACAGAACGTTCAGTTACAATGAAGGAACTCCTGAAAGGAATAAAAGAAAACAGGGTAAGTATTAAATTATATACCTTTTAAGTAAGGGAGGTCGTTTGAGAAATATTTCCGAAAAGTTAAGAAAATCATGAATCAATTTTGATGAAATGTGTGACAATTTTCAGTGGTCCTGTTGTTGGTTGTAGGTGATAGAGATGTTCGGGTCAGGCACAGCAGTGTCCATCTGTCCGATCAGCAAAATTAAGTACTGTGATCAGTGGTACATCGTATCTGAACAACAGAAGCTGGCTACAAGATTGTTTGGACAGCTCACCGCCATACAGGTACGTTTTGTTGGTTGTCATAGTTGTTATATCTCAGTATTGATCGCGATCAAAGCAAGATTAAAACACAGCATTGGATTGAAATATGTCCTTTGTATCGAAATTGTACATTAAAAAGACTATATATGACAATGACAATTTTTTTTCAAGGGGTGGAGAGGTTTTATATATCACACGTGTTCAGATTAAACTGCTTTCCAAAATCTTAGACCGGCTACTGAAAAATAGTCATAGTCCATGTTAAATGAAAACCAAGGAGATACTGCCGAAACCTAGGCCGCGACACAAGAACATGTATAGGTGTTTTAGGTACGAAGTTTGATGTTATCAGATCTTACGTTTTGAATTTACACTTGCAGTACGGCGAATGTCCGAGTGAATGGGCAGTGGAGGTAGACTGACCTCCCCATGAAGGTGTTATCTAACAACCATGGAAGACATTATCAGTTCCTAAGGCAGCCATACTTTGATCTTATTCTGGTTAATGTGCAAGAAACGTTATTTCCTGGTCACTGAAGTGACATTGAATCAAACGCGTGATTACAAGAATCTGATGTTTTCAAACACACAATTGACTTGAGATGAGAGTATAATAACAGACGAGGTAGTTTATACGGAAATATGTGTTTGTGAGGGAACTTTTGGAAGTAAGCTTGTGGAAGCTGGAGCTCGCCGAACAAAGCGATCATATACCTGTAATCGGACGCGCCCTACGAAAACAGAATTATTCTCTTTACCAGTCTCAAGCACTGGGAGTTTTTAAACTTCAATATTTTGTAGTATAATATTTGCATGAAAAGATTTCTAAGACAGTACAACTTATTGTGTATTCTCTTAAAAATGTTTGATGTGTCCTCTCTTTGTAATCCTATTTTTGAAGTTGTTGATCTTTTTAATATTATATTTATTTTGTTTTGTAAACAGTTTTTTTTATAATAAAATACTTTTACTGTTCAGAACGCATTCATTTCTTTTTATTTGTGAAATGCTATCATCCTTGTCAATATATCACATCCCTGTCAGTATATCCTGTCCTTGTCAATATATCACATCCTTGTCAATATATCCTGTCCTTGTCAATATATCACATCCTTGTCAATATATCACATCGCTGTCAATATATCACATCCTTGTCAATATATCACATCCTTGTCAATATATCCTGTCCTTGTCAATATATCACATCCTTGTCAATATATCCTGTCCTTGTCAATATATCACATCCTTGTCAATATATCCTGTCCTTGTCAATATATCACATCTTTGTCAATATATCTTGTCCTTGTCAATATGTCGCATCCTTGTCAATATATCCTGTCCTTGTCAATATATCCTGTCCTTGTCAATATATCACATCCTTGTCAATATATCACATCCTTGTCAATATATCTTGTCCTTGTCAATATATCTTGTCCTTGTCAATATATCACATCCTTGTCAATATATCCTGTCCGTGTCAATATATCACATCCTTGTCATTATATCACATCCTTGTCAATATGTCACCTCCTTGTCAATATATCACATCCTTGTCAATATATCACATCCTTGTCAATATATCCCGTCCTTGTCAATATATCACATCCTTGTCAATATATCACATCCTTGTCAATATATCCTGTCCTTGTCAATATATCACATCCTTGTCAATATATCCTGTCCTTGTCAATATATCACATCCTTGTCAATATATCACATCCTTGTCAATATATCACATCCTTGTCAATATATCACATCCTTGTCAATATATCCCGTCCTTGTCAATATATCACATCCTTGTCAATATATCCTGTCCTTGTCAATATATCACATCCTTGTCAATATATCACATCCTTGTCAATATATCACATCCTTGTCAATATATCCTGTCCTTGTCAATATATCACATCCTTGTCAATATATCACATCCTTGTCAATATGTCACATCCTTGTTAATATCCTGTCCTTGTCAATATATCCTGTCCTTGTCAATATATCACATCCTTGTCAATATATCATATCCTTGTCAATATATCACATCCTTGTCAATATATCACATCCTTGTCAATATATCACATCCTTGTCAATATATCCCGTCCTTGTCAATATATCTTGTCCTTGTCAATATATCTTGTCCTTGTCAATATGTCACATCCTTGTCCATATGTCACATCCTTGTCAATATATCACATCCCTGTCAGTTTATCTTGTCCTTGTCAATATGTCACATCCTTGTCAATATATCACATGTCACATCCTTGTCAATATGTCACATCCTTGTCAATATATCACATCCTTGTCAATATATCCTGTCCTTGTCAATATATCCTGTCCTTGTCAATATATCACATCCTTGTCAATATATCCTGTCCTTGTCAATATATCACATCCTTGTCAATATATCCTGTCCTTGTCAATATATCACATCCTTGTCAATATATCCTGTCCTTGTCAATATATCACATCCTTGTCAATATATCACATCCTTGTCAATATATCCTGTCCTTGTCAATATATCACATCCTTGTCAATATATCCTGTCCTTGTCAATATATCACAATATATCCTTGTCAATATATATATCACATCTTGTCCTTGTCAATATATCACATCCTTGTCAATATATCACATCCTTGTCAATATATATATCAAAGGATATATTTGTCAATATTGTCCTTGTCAATATATCATCCTTGTCATCCTTGTCCAATATATTGTCAATATATCCTGTCCTTGTCAATATATATCCTTGTCAATATATCACATCCTTGTCAATATATCCTTGTCAATATATCAAGCCTTGTCAATATATCTTTCCTTGTCAATATATATCCTTGTCATCCTTGTATATATCCTTGTCAATATATCACATCCTTGTCAATATATCACATCCTTGTCAATATATCATGTCCTTGTCAATATGTCACATCCTTGTCAATATGTCACATCCTTGTCAATATATCACATCCCTGTCAGTATATCTTGTCCTTGTCAATATGTCACATCCTTGTCAATATATCACATCCTTGTCAATATATCCTGTCCTTGTCAATATATCACATCCTTGTCATTATATCACATCCTTGTCAATATATCACATCCTTGTCATTATATCACATCCTTGTCAATATGTCACATCCTTGTCAATATATCACATCCTTGTCAATATATCATATCCTTGTCAATATATCACATCCTTGTCAATATATCCTGTCCTTGTCAACATATCACATCCCTGTCAGTATATCCTGTCCTTGTCAATATATCACATCCTTGTCAATATATCCTGTCCTTGTCAATATATCACATCCTTGTCAATATATCACATCCTTGTCAATATATCACATCCTTGTCAATATATCACCTCCTTGTCAATATATCACATCCTTGTCAATATATCACATCCTTGTCAATATATCCCGTCCTTGTCAATATATCACATCCTTGTCAATATATCCTGTCCGTGTCAATATATCACATCCTTGTCATTATATCACATCCTTGTCAATATGTCACCTCCTTGTCAATATATCTTGTCCTTGTCAATATCTCCTGTCTTTGTCAATATATCACATCCTTGTCAATATATCATATCCTTGTCAATATATCACATCCTTGTCAATATATCACATCCTTGTCAATATATCACATCCTTGTCAATATATATCCAATATGTCCTTGTCAATATATCACATCCTTGTCATATATATCCAATATATGTCCTTGTCAATATATCACATCCTTGTCATATATCCTTGTCAATATATCACATCCTTGTCAATATATCACATCCTTGTCAATATATCCTGTCCTTGTCAATATATCACATCGCTTGTCAATATATCACAATATATCCTTGTCAATATATCACATCCTTGTCATATATCCTGTCCTTGTCAATATATCACATCCTTGTCAATATATCACATCCTTGTCAATATATCCTGTCCTTGTCAATATATCACATCCTTGTCAATATATCACATTCTTGTCAATATATCACATCCTTGTCAATATATCACATCCTTGTCAATATATCACATTCTTGTCAATATATCACATCCTTGTTAATATATCACATCCTTGTCAATATATCCTGTCCTTGTCAATATATCACTGTCCTTGTCAATATAATATATCACATCCTTGTCAATATATCCTGTCCTTGTCAATATATCACATCCTTGTCAATATATCACATCCTTGTCAATATATCCTGTCCTTGTCAATATATCACATCCTTGTCAATATATCACATCCTTGTCAATATATCCTGTCCTTGTCAATATATCACATCCTTGTCAATATATCACATCCTTGTCAATATATCACATCCTTGTCAATATATCCTGTCCTTGTCAATATATCACATCCTTGTCAATATATCACATCCTTGTCAATATATCACATCCTTGTCCGTATTACATGAGTTGTCTGTAAGGAGTATAGACGATTTTACAAAGGATTATAAAAAACAAAAGGGCAAGATTTCCAATTTCCTTGACTTTGACTTGTTTTGTACAATAGCGAGTTTGATGAAGACACCGCCCCAAGAAAGTATCCATTACAAGCCTTTTATCTTTCTGATATTTTATTTTACAAATCAATATATATTTTCCCGAGATGGGAATGAGTTTGGTCCTCATCAAATGATTATAAGTTACAATGGACAATCCACAGTGGGTAAAATGTTTTAGAATATCGTGAGAGATAGGTGCCAAAAGCTGGTAGAGTTCCAGGGTCTAACAGTCGTGGAAGAGCGCAGTGTACATGAATAGATTAAACTCATAATTATAATGAGTTGTTATGATGTAAATGATTATGTTTAAAATCAAATAAATGTAATTATATACTTCAAAGATAATTTTCATAGTAACTAAAATACGGATGTATCTTGTAATCAAACGGTTTAGCATACCAAAGATTCCATACATGCGCATAGTAGATAAATACAGTTCTTTTAGTCAGACAATGTTATACATAACTGATACATTCACATCTTTTAGTCTTACAATGTTAAACATACTAGATAAATTCACCTCTCGTAACCTTACAATGTTATACATAATAGATAAATTCACCTCTCGTAATCTTACAATGTTAAACATAATAGATAAATTCACCTCTCGTAACCTTACAATGTTAAACATAATAGATAAATTCACCTCTCGTAACCTTACAATGTTATACATAATAGATAAATTCACCTCTCGTAACCTTACAATGTTATACATAATAGATAAATTCACCTCTCGTAACCTTACAATGTTATACATAATAGATAAATTCACCTCTCGTAACCTTACAATGTTAAACATAATAGATAAATTCACCTCTCGTAACCTTACAATGTTATACATAATAGATAAATTCACCTCTCGTAACCTTACAATGTTATACATAATAGATAAATTCACCTCTCGTAACCTTACAATGTTATACATAATAGATAAATTCACCTCTCGTAACCTTACAATGTTATACATAATAGATAAATTCACCTCTCGTAACCTTACAATGTTATACATAATAGATAAATTCACCTCTCGTAACCTTACAATGTTAAACATAATAGATCAATTCACCTCTCGTAACCTTACAATGTTAAACATAATAGATAAATTCACCTCTCGTAACCTTACAATGTTATACATAATAGATAAATTCACCTCTCGTAACCTTACAATGTTATACATAATAGATAAATTCACCTCTCGTAACCTTACAATGTTATACATAATAGATCAATTCACCTCTCGTAACCTTACAATGTTATACATAATAGATAAATTCACCTCTCGTAACCTTACAATGTTATACATAATAGATAAATTCACCTCTCGTAACCTTACAATGTTATACATAATAGATCAATTCACATCTCGTAACCTTACAATGTTATACATAATAGATCAATTCACCTCTCGTAACCTTACTATGTTAAACATAATAGATACATTAACCTCTCGTAATCTTACTATGTTTTACATAATAGACAAATTCACCTCTCGTAACATTATAATGTTTTACATAATAGATAAATTCACCTCTTGTAACCTTACAATGTTATACATAATAGATACATTCACATCTTTTAGTCTAACAATGTTATACATATTAGATACATCAACCTCTCGTAGTCTGCTATATGAGAACTGAGTGATAAGTTATGAGCCTCATATTTAAGGGTTTGAGGGCGGACATATTACATTATTTTTCAGCATAATCCCTTTCAGTATCGATACACTTTTGCCAGCGATGTTTAAGGACTTCAATGCCACTCTTGAGGAAGTCTTTTTCTGGGCAGTTCATGAAGTTCTCCAGTTCATATATGACGTCATCATCTGATTGAAAGTGGGTACCGGAAATAGCTTTTTTCAATTTTAGAAATAGATCAAATTCTCATGGAGTGAGGTCAGGCGAAAGCTTTTTTCAATTTTAGAAATAGATCAAATTCTCATGGAGTGAGGTCAGGCGAATAAAGCAGATGCTAAATCTATCGAAAGCCACAATCGTTAATGGCAGCCATGGTCTGTCACTGTTACTGAGTTTTCTGTGGCGCTGGAGTTTGATATTTCTCTTAACTGCCTAAGAAGTGATGCCTAATATATGTCCATGATTGTGTTCCCCTTTGCAGATATTCTACCATCAGAATATCATCAGCATCCCAGAAAACCGAGGCATAACCTTTCCAGCTAATTGAACAGACTTTGCTTTTTTAAAGGGGGTAAGTCAGGGTTTACACTTTTTTTTATTTTTATTTTTATTTTTTTTTTTTTTTTTCCTTTGGGGTGAAATGATGGACCTACGTTTCATCCTTAGTTACAAACCTCTGCGGAAAATTAGCAGGATTTGCCTCTAAAATGTTCAGATAAGCACGCGACAAAGTCCGCCTTGTGTGCTGCTGATCGACTGTCAGAAGTCTTGGTACCCAACAGGCTGAGAGCTCCCTCATTGCAACTTCTTTCGTAAGAATGGAATGTACCCTCTCCCCTTGAAATGTCAACTGTACTAGCTTTTTTTCTTTGTAACTCGTCTGCCAGCCATAACAATAACAAGGACTTTATTGACCATTTCCGAGGTTGCGTCATCCCAAAGGCTCTGCCTGCCACGCTTAAATTCTAACACCCATCTTTTCACTGTAGCATTTGAAGGAGCATCATTCCCTAGAGTCGCTACCTGTCAGTATGGATATCCAGTCTTCGGGTAGAGTCAGGGCATAACAAGATACATGCACCTCCTTAACTTTTTAACAGTATGGTACATAAGACTCTAACAGTATGGTACATGATACATGCATCACTCAACCCTCGGTACATAAAAGATACATGCACAGTATGGTACATAAAAGATACATGCACCTCTTGTAGTCTAACAGTATAGTACATAAAAGATACATGCACCTCCTGTAGTCTAACAGTATGGTACATAAAAGATACATGCACCTCCTGTAGTCTAACAGTATAGTACATAAAAGATACATGCACCTTTCCAAGTCATTGTGTTTTCGTGTTGCAGTTGATTCGATATTCAATGTTCTCTTCCTATTATCACAATTTTCATGCAAGTTCTCGTCAACTGATGACGGAGTTTCAAAAAATGCAGGACGATGAAATGCATGAGGAAGTTTTACGGTCGTTATCGTGATCTTCATTGAGAGTTTTTTTTTGTGTGCGGCTTGAAGCTGAACATATTTTATGCTCGTTACTTTGCCTGTTGGCTCCGTTGTTGTATACCTTGTTCTATTTTGAGAACGTGACATTACTTACTTGGATTGACCAAGATTTACATGATGGGTGTCGTCGATGAACTTTTTCAGGAGTCTCCGTGTAAATCTGTCTTTTATTCATATTTCGCCACAGTGTTTTAATGAATTTGAGATTGAATTGTGATTATGTTGCCATGTTGGTATTTTCATGTTCTTAATATGTTTAAAGTTTTGACATCAACAGGAGCATTTGTATACTTATATAAACAAAGAAAACATCATGTCAATGACTGCAATTTCTATTATACTACTTCGTCCCAATACAAGATGTATAAATCTAGTACTTACTAAATTGTTAGACAAGTATGTACTACGAGAGGTGTATGTGATTATGTAATGTTAAAAAGGCAACGCTTTAAAAGAAAGTAGTTTTCGATAATGTTTATTTGAATCTATAAGGTAAAAAGGTTGTAATGTATTACTGTATGGTGATTGTTTAAATGGGTTAATGAGTTATCGATCAGTAACCAAGAATTCCTACGTAAAGTACTCCTTTAAATGAACCAATAACGTTGCTGAATCTAATTTATCACGGAGAGTTAATACTACATTCAATAATGAGAATTGGACAAGATCAATTATCAATTCATAAATTTTTCAATGGTCAGGCTGAACGAGATTATCTCTCTACTGGAGTACTGCTTCAGATTTTATTACTAGTAAAAATAGAGGTAACAAACAGGGGAAGGGGGAAATTCAGTCAGGTATTTTAGTCAAAAATGTTCGTCTTTAAAGATCTTCGCACGGGCGCCAGAAAAAACAAGAAAATACCAACATGTCAACACAATCATAACCAAAACTAAAATTCAATAAAACTAGGGCGAAATGTGAACAAGAGAAATATTTACACAATCATGCCAATCGCTGTTTCCTTGTGTACTATGTAGGGGGCAACCTTTGTCACTCGGTGTTAAAAGTTTTATGTTAAAGGTGATGAGTATGGGTTTGTCGTTTTGGGATGAAAAGTTTTATGCGAGGGCAAAACGGTCAAAGTACGTTATAATGAATCTTCTTCTCCGTGTGTTCATTTGTTATAGATAACTTTACAAGATATTTTCAGGTTTTTCAGCCAGCCCATACTCAGTTTAAGTCGCTGATGTTGTACACGAAGTATTCTTTGCCTTGACTGACACACCTATAACATGTCTCCCTGTATCTTATGTGTGTTGTCAAGTAAAACACTATCTGGCATCTTTTCATTTTCGTTGTCATTTCTCGCTAACAGGTAAAACTTCTTGAAGAGGAAAAATGCCACTGAGCATGCCATACCAAAACCTCCGACGATGAAAACTCCCGCCATGTGACCAATGGAAAACTCGACTTGCGTTGACGATCGACTAGCCATTTGATTGTCGCATTTACGCTTGTTATCCCACCACCTAACATCAAAGAATAAAACAGCTGTATGATCATGTATGTCGCAATCACTTTAGAAGCAAATGGGAAGAAAACTTCGAATTTCGAGGAAACAGACGAGTTTGTTACATGGCACAATTCATATCTATCTATAGAACAAAGAAATCAAATATTGCATTTCCATATGATCAAAAACATCTTCTAGTTATGGTTATTTCGAACATACATCTTGACAAATATATTATTTGAAGTAATGTTAAATAAAAAAAAAAGCGCCGCCCACGAAAAAAAAAAACATCAAAAAATCATTTACTATCAAAGAGTGCTTACTTTTTCTGCATATCTCGAATAAAATTTCTCTCCTTGAGTTGCAGGAGGCCAATATTGATTTTAGTTTTAAAAGAGGCCCCGGCAGGCATCACAATCCCGTGTTCCTGTAATCGGACAGGTATTCCCACCATCTTAGTCTCGCAGTAGTTTTTCTCCGAGTAAAGGTTGATAAGATAATCGAATATGAAGGCATAATGTCCTTGCTCAACTCTTTGTCTGCCCACTGAGGAGTTCTGAACCAATCCGTAATCAGACTCGCGGATTTTTTCCCAGATCTGTTTGTATACAGGTCTACTGCCATCTTGTAGGAACTTCATCGTCGCTGACTTATCTATAGTGCCACATTCGATATCGCTCCTTTCCGCGAGCTCTTCCAGTGACGTAACAGGCTGTTCCAGGTTTGTCGTAGTAAGGAAGGCAGCCATGTTTGCTGTGTACGTACTGACTGTAATGAGAACGAAGAATGTGAACCCAGCCGTGACGATCCTCTGTGATGTCGGCCGTGGAGAAAAATCAGTGCCGCGCATGAGCAGTGTGCCTATAGAAAACCATAGGGTTTCCTTGACTGTAAACTGTCTCTCGACGCTGGTGTAATCCAGAATGTATAAAATGACGGACACTACAAAGGACGCGCCTACAGTGGCTAGCCAAAGGTTCAGTGAGAAAGGCTCCATAAACTGGAAAATGTTTTTTGCCTCTTTCGGTTTCTTGATGAGCATGTTGACTCCCGTGCTGATCACTCCAAGACTAAAATCGATAACCTTTTCCCTTGAGGACGTGATAGAAATGGCGCCCATCCCAATGTTCGCCCTCTGCAAGAAAGACAAAACAACACATATATAAGTGAGACGTGCTTTCAGCGGGATACAGACACAACAAAATTGACTTATCGTAAAGAGGCTGTTACTTGATATTGAAGGACCACGGGTTTACAAAGGCTTGGTATAGGCGTGTCTCAGATATCTGTTAGGACATACACGTTCGTGATAAATCGCTTGGAAGATACTTCCCAACAATCAGAGCATATCCGAGTACAGAGGCAACATATTTTGTCTCAAATCAGAATAAAATGGAGTTTAGCTTCAGGTCATTGAAGACAAATAAACCGATTAGACAAGCCATTACGTACCCCTGAGAGAACCTCCTCTACCATACCATTCCATGAACCGTTAGCGTACTCCGACCCATAAACGTTGTATGGACTTTCATAAATTTCATATTTAAGCTGGAGAACCTTTGCTAGTTCCCGGAGAATATCGATAGTGAATCCTTCGTAGCGATCGTTTCCCTCGTAACTATGACCATTCCGACCTTCCCTTCGAATGACAAAAGGTTCCTCCTGGAAACAACGTGTTCAGTTATTAGCAACTGTTGAATATGAATTCGATAAACAATTTTTTTTCTACTTTTCTGTTTTTATTAGCCCGTTTTGACGTCTCCACTTTCTACACCTACACTTTTCAAAATAATATTCAATAATACATTATGTCACACGCCAGCATAGATTGCTATCAACAGAAATGAAAATCAAATACCGTAAATGGCTTAGATTTCCTGAGCATTTTATATTACAAACACACTCCTTCAGACATATTTAGGAAAACATGACGCAGATCTGGAATTTACTTTTAATTGCGACTAACGAGCTCTTATAAACCAGGCCTCAGTTGCTCGAAGCTTGGTTAGCGTTGACCAGTGGTTAGTTAAAAGTTTAATTGTTGCCATTGGGAAAAACAAAACAGTAACTTAAAAATATCAATCTGATATGTATTAAAAAATCTACAGCTGTGAAATGGGAAAGGATGTTCTAATTTTTGTTTACTTAATATTTTAATTTTTTCAATAACCACTCGTTAATTCTAACCAAACTTTGAGCAAATCGGGCCCGCACTCTACAGTACTTCGACATTGGTAACCAAATAAACATGGATGCCATCGAGAGTTCTTTTCAAACAAATTATCGCGCGACATTTGGATTCGCGATAAACTATCCTTAATTATTAACGCGAAAATAAAACTGTTATGATTTACAGTATACCAGATAATAATCGGCAGGGGGAGGGGGTAACTTGTTGCTCTAGCGAATGTATTCAGATACAAAACTTTAGATATAGCTACAGGAAATACTTACGATGACGACGACGACTTTGAGGACGTCATCGAAAATGCTGCCTTGATCCTGATCACCATCAAGACTAGATCTTCTCAATCGTAACCGTTCCTGGACACTCGCACCGCCGGGGTTCCATTCCCCAACCTACACAGACAAATAACGTCAATACTATCAAAACATACGGAGAAGATGCAGTAATAATACGTTTAACAACAGATGCGCGATTAATTTATCGTTAACAATGTGATTTTGTTTGTCCCTCACGAATTCTTTAAGTTCTTTTGTGTCTTTGCATTGTAATGTAGCGTAACCAGGAAGTTTATAACAGCTGTAACACTCTATACTTACCTTGTGAAATAGACCCATACCCCCATGGTTAACCAATCGTAACGTGTAATTAACACGCTTTCCTTCATCATCAAACTGGACATGACCAGTCAATGGAGAGTCGAAAGTCACCTGTATAGAACACAATAACTATCTAAAATCTATAAATGTGAGACAGTCACATCCTAATACCGTAAACTTACTAATGTTATGGCATTATTGCTTTTTATAAAAAAAAAGTGCATTGTTGTCTTATCGCAACACTTACTGTGTGACAAAGAGTTAAAACTGTTACTAATATATTATATAGTTTCATTGTATCTTATTGACATTACTTAACAAAAGGTAACGATATTTATATCAGATGATCTTAAAACAATGAATCAAGAGGGATGTTTTTATTCTAACAACAAAAAGAACGAAACCAACAAACAAAAATCGTGTTGTAAGAAAAACAATAAATTTGCTCAGTTGTTATTACCTGGCGAAGTGCCTCCAGGAACCTCGCTTTTGAGAAATCAGGGTCGAAGAAGTCCCCAGACAGTTCGAGGTAGCGTGTTTGGGCTCTACTGACCAGCTCTGCTGCGTCCGTTGCTGCAGCCTCCTGACTGCTTGTCAAGTTGACGTTGTTAAATGTGTACCTGAAGGCCAGCAGGCGGCATCTTACGGCGTACAGCCCTTTCCTATACATGTTCATCTCTTTGAGTGGTTCTAGGTACATGGACTAGATAAACAGGAACAATAGTGTTATACGACCATGGTGATATACGTCGACACAATATTAAATACGACAAGAATAGTGACAGTTCAGATGATCTACCTCACTTCCTTTAATATTATCACATTGCCAGCTCGTTGTTTAACGGTTGTGTTCGCTTCTTCCTCATTCCAGTGTAATTTTCCTTATTTTTCCTGACTATGCTGTATTCCTCCTTGATTTAAATATGATATTTGTTCTAGAGGGTAAAGCCGTTAAGACACACTTGTTGTTAATATCGATAACATATCCCTCTAGGAAAACCTCTCCTCCTATCTATGTTTCATCTCTATCCGTGACGGTTTGTTTTTTTCGGCTGGAGAGTTCCTTTGTTTCATCCTATTCGCATAACCCCTCATGCATCATTGTCAATTGCATTTCTCTATTGCGTAATTAACCTACAATTTTCAACCACGTTTTATAAAAACTTACCGTATCAAGTAAGATGAAGACGTTGTGTTCATCTTCCAAGAGACCAAATGCCATGGCCTGTTGATAAAAAAGAAACGGATTAAATCTTCATTTTCTAGTTTTCTTACTTGCTCTTCTTTGACATGGCTCTTCATATCAAGCCATGACATACACTGGTAAACCAATTATCAAAATCAGTAAGAGTTCTTGTTTACCACAACATCAATAATTTGCCATAACGTATGCTTTAAAATTTTGTAAACATGTATTTTCAGAAATAATTGTGAACGTTGTGAAATATACATGTACTCGATCTAGCAAAAACTTTAAATTATTTGCAGAGGAACATAAACAAATGATCACCAATTATCTCCCTTGTAGTGTTATTTTCTTACGAGATTTTACATTGATTACCTCCCTTAGTTCTCTTCTCTCCACGAGGACAGCGTACGTAAGGTAGATAACTGAGGAGGAAACCAATCTAACAAGATATCAAAATTTCACCATTGCTGCTAAAATTAACTCTTTGGTGTCGTTTAAAATGGGTTTGAAGACTAAAATCGGTGATCTTTTAAAATAAGAAGAACAAAAACGTATTATCACAAACCTCCTTTAAGACTGTTTCTACAAGCTTGTCTTTCTCGTCACGCGGACTGCACGTGAGTACCACGCGCTGTTCCAGCATCTGTGCGTTTCTCAGGACGTCTCGCGTTTGTTCATTGGTCATTCTCCTGTTGCCAAGACTGACGGCGTAAGGAATTGGCGATATATTACTCTCAATCATCTGATTCACCAAATCCTTGCATTCTAAATAAACAATAACCAGAGTCATTTTTGTATATTAATCATAGAAAAGAACAGAATTAATTTCGTTCGTTAATGTAACGTCTATTCAAGCTAGTAGTTTGATCATGATAAAATCGTATATTATTACAGGGAGCTAAAACTTTTTTTGTCTGCAAGTGACATTTCTTCTTTAAGGAAACAAACCCTGGTTCTCTCGTGGGTTATCTGGCAGTACTACCACGACACTTGTCCAGTTCTGTGTCTTGCACAGATCAACAATGGCTAGGTTTATTTCTGACGCAGCAGGCCTCATTTCCACTACTGAATGCCATTGGACGGAGTCCGTTACACGGTTGTTGTCCACCCAATCAAATCCCTTGTAATCTGTGACGACGTATGGGATGCCATTCATTTGAAGAATCATGGCCATGTTGGTGTAAAAGGGGCCGATGACGACGGTCAGTCCGTACTCACTACCGAGATTAGCCTGGTCGTCCACCTCTGTAATATTCAACAAGACCACATGCCTTCAAATGTGAAAATTATGAAGTATTTGTCCAATATCAACACAAAAGAAATAACGTTTCATGATCTCATATGATGCATTTGTCATATATCACGGTTCAGAATACACATGTGCTTGTAGGTCTTCTAAAAAAACTAAATATTAAATCATAGGGCTAGTACACAACACCGTCTAGATTTTGACATTTCTTTGGATCACTTTGTATTTTCTTCATTTTTTCAGGTACCGAAAATTTAGACCCTGTTTTAGTGTTTGCTAATATTGACGGTTATGGACATAAATGTAAGATGTCAACTCGCCTAGTAAAATATTCAATAACTGTCTGGTCATTACACCACTACGACATCCCCAAAAATGTATGCGGAAGTCCTAGTGAATAGACAGCTAGAAATTATCAACATGATAGATGGTAGATTGTCTATTACATAAAAAGATCATCTAGATAGCAATGCATATAAACATATGAATACCAATTGTACAACTAACACAAAGCAAAGTCGGACACAATTACGACAAGTACTTTAAATATGAAACTTTTGGATAAACAAATTGTGTGAATTGGTTGATATTTTGGAAACACTAACACAATTGTGGAAGTATATGTATATGTTCATGAAATACCAACTGAAATATGTCTTTCTACAGGTAATATCATTCCCATTTGATCAAGTAACTCAATAATTTAGTTTATATTTTTAACCAGCATTATAATTTGGCAAGCAAATTATTCGTGTGTTTGTATTTTTACAGAGTCCCTTTACAAATTATTTGTGTATATGTATTTCTACGGAGTCCCTTTACAAATTATTCGTGTGTTTGTATTTTTACAGAGTCCCTTTACAAATTATTTGTGTGTATGTATTTTTACAGAGTCCCTTTACAAATTATTTGTGTATATGTATTTCTACGGAGTCCCTTTACAAATTATTCGTGTGTTTGTATTTTTACAGAGTCCCTTTACAAATTATTTGTGTATATGTATTTCTACGGAGTCCCTTTACAAATTATTCGTGTGTTTGTATTTTTACAGAGTCCCTTTACAAATTATTTGTGTGTATGTATTTTTACAGAGTCCATTTACAAATTATTTGTGTATATGTATTTCTACGGAGTCCCTTTACAAATTATTTGTGTGTATGTATTTCTCCTTTACTGACATATTTCATCTGTATTTTATTGTTATTTTAAAATATTATTTCGTGAAAAAAACATTTCGAAAGAACGAAATGCTTTTTCGTTAAAGCGCAATAAAATAAGTGTTTAGCATGTTTGCCAGGTAAGTGGCTGCGTATATTTAAGTATCATTTACATGGTATTTTGTTTCATTGAATATTTTATGGAACTTGCCGATATACTTACAATGTACTTTTACACTAAATTACCATATATTGCTCAACTGTTCCGTTAGGTGTTTTCAATTTAAAACATGATGCATAGAAGCATTTGTGTTTGTTTCTTCTTTGTTTCTTTTTTTTTTTTTTTTTTTTTTTTTTTTTTTTTTTTTTTTTTTTTTTGTTTTTTTTTTTGTGTGTGTGTTTTTTAATTGTTATTTCCATGCTCCTGGTTTTGATTAACATACAGTTAATGGGCCATACAGTGCTTTCTAGTGTAGATAGGCCAACATCAGAAGCTGTGCACCGTTAGATCCGCATGTATATGTCCTACACATTTAAATCTCATTTCCAACAGCGGACACGTTCTATGAAATACCAAGTCGAAATTGTTTCAAAGTAGGAATGGATATGTAACATGGCTACCGAAAATTCATACCGACAAATAACGTGATATCGGTTATATACATTTTATATTACAGGGGGTAAAGAATGTTCTATAGTTATTTTTAGATTTCATAAAGAAATCATATTTATCGATGATGTTATAAGATAGTTGAGGTATCAGTATAAAAGTACATTTGATTTTAACGTCTTCTTTTAACAATAATTAATGTATTCTGTTTATGTGTCAAGTTATATACTTAAATATATAGAAGTGATATATAACTACACCATTACCTTAAGTTTGTTTCCCATAACAGGCGCCTTATCGGTAAGTCGCATTGTTATGATAGCCTTTTTAAAACGACCATTAAGGATTTATACTGATAACCGTAAATAAAAGTTTACTGAAACAATGCAAAATTTGGAATCGTCGTTAAAAAGTTATTTGAAAGCTTCGTTTTGCTCTGATGGACGTTAATCTATATTTAAATTCTTCTAACAGAGCACAGTTCAGATTATACACAGCCTGATGTTGTTCCAAAATTATCACTATCTGTTATATGAGAATTACAAAACCTATCGATTTGCTCTGATGGACGTTAATCTATATCTAAATTCTTCTAACAGAGCACAGTTCAGATTATACACAGCCTGATGTTGTTCCAAAATTATCACTATCTGTTATATGTAAATTACAAAACCTATCGATTTGCTCTGATGGACGTTAATCTATATCTAAATTCTTCTAACAGAGCACAGTTCAGATTATACACAGCCTGATGTTGTTCCAAAATTATCACTATCTGTTATATGAGAATTACAAAACCTATCGAATGATGGGGCCAATGAAACATTTCTAATCTTGGTTTTCATTATTCTTTAGATCACTCTGGTTTTTTTGCCTCCTAGGCTTTCAATGTTAGGCCCTGAGCATCACCGATGGGTGTTGGGAGGACGAAACAGCTGTACGATGCAGTAATAATGATACATTATTAGATGTAATTGGTTTGTTCGTTATGTTAGTTTCTGGTAAAGTTGTGTTTGCATATCGACAATTAACTCATTCATTATTCAAATCGATGGAATTTGGTTCTATTATATAATATGATATCAACATGCAATAGAGATGTGATTTACAGAAAGGTTGTTCAATATCTATCACTTTGACATGTAATCTATTACAGACATGGGGAACATGCTATTAATGAAGAAATTATGCGGTTTTTTTTTTTTGTTTTTTGTTTTTGTTTTGTTTTTCAGTTTTTCTATATGTATTAATAAAAGCCTGTCATTTCACCACGATTAGGCATGTGATGCAATATTTAAACATTTTCCTATCCATATCAGGGTATGATCTTACATATGAATATTGAATATCACTATATTGGCCGATGGATTGATTTTTACTGCTGTCACTTGGTTAACAAATCCCTAGGTATGGGGAATTTCCGCCCCGCTGTTATTGTGACAACACAGTTTTACAGAGAAATTTAATTTCAACCCCGTTGTCAATAAACATGGCTATCAAAAAATCGATAATATAATTAGAAGCTTGTTTTTGTTTCTGGGAGTGACCTCAAACTAATTTGATAGTATGATTGACACTTGAAGTACTAAACAGTCAATAACTTATGTATAGTATTTCGATGAATTTTTGCGACATTTTAATTTCGTAGTCAATACGATTACAAATACTAATACTGTAAAATGGTGTATTTTCGTGGGTTACAAATATTCTTATTTTAACACAATATTACTTCCTTGGCACCTGATTTCGTGGATAAATTACTAGCACTAGAAAATTAATTACAATCCTTAAATCTTAATCATCTCGAATATAGAGTGATCTCGAAATCAATAATAAAAATGTAAAGTCTAAATCACGAGATAATTAGCTCACGGAAAGTCCATAATGACTTATGACTTTTCTAATTCTCTGTACTTACGGGCATTCATCCTTTTGGTGATTTTTGTCCAACCAGAATGTGGGATCTGGAGATCTCGGTCGATATCCATGATGACGACATATGGCGGCATGAAACAGTTCTGTACTGCTGTTTCATTATTCTTGATGTTTGCTGTTACAAAGTTCTGAAACGAGCGTCCTCGATCAGAGCTAAGTACACCTTCAGAAGTGAAAAATATCATTACTAAAACACAGAAGTTGCAAATACTTTTTGCATGTACTATGTACGGCATAATTATGCATATGTATATGTGGAACGATAATTTCTGGCATTTTCCAAAGCTGGAAAACGAAACTGTGGTGAAAATTTAACAGGGATTAGTAAAAGCCGTGATAGTCGAAAGCAAACAGTCGAAAAGTTCCACTCATGGCTTCCTTATTTCTGTTTTACTGAAAAGTGACCATAACACCTCAAGGAATATTGTTCTGGGTAATGTTTACCCAAGTAAGATAAACTATTTCAATGATTAAGGTACTCCCTCTCTCCTGGGAGACTGGCCTATCCTGACATTTACTTTCTATGACGGTGAAAGGAGACTAGGCTATCCTGACACTTACCTACTATGAAGGTGTATGGAGACTGGTCAGAAGAAGATGGCATACATTCAAGCTTTTTGCCTTGGCACTGAATGAGCATAACCATGAGGAGGCCGAGTTGTCCACAGAACATAGCTCTCCATGGTCCAATACGGTTCATCATATTTTCTTCTTTGACGAATTTTCCTAAAATGTTAACCATCAGATTACCTGATAGCGAGTATTCTGTAGGAATAATCACTATGGTACAGTGATGTAAAATTGATATTGTGACTTTGGTAATCAGTAATCGTAAAAAATATCAGTGGATATTAACATATCTTTGCAACATTGCATTTAAGAAATGAGCACCGTAAGCATTGGTTATGGATTTGATTTTAAAGTTACAACACTTTTGAAATTTTGAAATAATTCCCTCTCTCCATTTTCATATTGTTTTGTTTTTTTGTTTTGTTTGTTTGTTTTTTTTTTTTTTGTTTTTTTGTTTTTTTTTTCCTTCTATTTTATTTTATTTATTTATTTTACATTTATACATATGGTACATTTATATGTTGTTTATGTACACCTTGCAAGCTCGCGTACGTGTACATAAACAACATATAAATGTACCACAATGTCGTCAAATTAAGTTAAGTTTCCATTCTATAAAGTTTTATCAGAGAGCCATATTGCAAGAAAAGAGAAAGAAAAATATTTTGTAAAAATATTTAGTTCTAAACTAAATAATCTTACCTAAAATTACCAGAGCTATATTATTTCACGTGTCAATATGACGTCACTATTGTACTGTATTCATGACGTCACAATCCGTATCTATGTAAATATGTAAAACATCTGAAGAAGAAATGAAAGCGCTTATGTTTTACATCATGTGTTTTCCAGTGTTTATCTTTTTCTGTATATATATATATAAAAGAATTATAGTAACATTCTAAACATCTCTAAGGGCATTCCTAATCGGCACAAATAACCTATACGTAAAACAGCGTTATTGTGTTAATGTCACGTATTTAAATATTCCTTTGAACTGCAGTACCACTGACGTATCCTTGAGGAACAAACATGCTGTATGATGGGTGAAGTAAATGTTTACTTTCTGTATTGACCGTTTTCTGTGATAATCCAGACGTAAAACATATATACATTTTATAGACTAGAATATTACTAATATTATCAAACACAACATCACTCTACATATAATGAACGTGCATAAGCACACCGTATATTTCAGTAACACGCCCTCAATATCCCGCATTGAAACGAAATTCGTTCAGGAATGTGAAGTAAGCGCTATCAGTTTGTACCGTGGTTAACGTACTTGAATAACAGTGAATGGATCGAAAGGATCTAATTATTCTATTCCGCGTTAAACAATCACCAGCTCAACCACATCAATTGTTATTCGGGATTTTCGTCTTTCATTCACCACATTGAAAAAATAACCATTTGTTTGGCACCATTATTTTTTGAGAAGTTAAGCCTGCTTCAGAAATAAATACATAAATTTGATAACAGTAGTGTCATCGATATTTTGGTGAAATAACAAATAACCAACATGGTAGCAAAATTTAACTGTTTCTAAAAGACACTCCTACTCAAAGTTATGACAAAATATTATCGTAGATCATGAGCCAGCTATATTTCTCACGTTAATAACAGGAAGAAATGGAATCTTGCTGCACATAATCTGTTGTGACGTGATGTGTTATACAAACAATTATAATCAATCTCAAACACATGTGTAACCCCAGACGTCTGTTGATATCGAAATCAATGGGATCTAATAATAAAATTACTACAGTTCAACATTTATGTTCGACTTGTGATACAGATGGTTTGCATGTCAATGATATCTTATTCATATGATGTTATCATTTAAATTGCCCCTAGTGTATAGTGTCGGAATCTTTCTAAATATTTAATACTCATACATCAATACATCCCGTGTAACATATTTCTACATCTTCAATTAAATGCGTATACCATATTTGTACAAATATATATAATTACCTCCACGAACATGTCGGCCCAAACGCAACATTGATTCGAGAGTTGAATCTGTGTGTTGTGATGATAACCTTTAACAGATACTCATCTTTATCTAATAACGTAATAGCTTTTCCTGATAACCTAAAACTAACGTACCACTTGATGGCTTTGTTATCTCTCTAGTCAACATAATATTGGAAACATCGTTCATGATTATGTAGCGCTCACCAATCCCAACTGGAAACGTCACCCAGCTCAGTGCCTCTCTCAGATATTCGTCACATCTCCATTGGACTAAAGTGACCAAATTTTACTTTAAGGGCGGACAAACTTTATGTCGCCCTAAGCACCTAATTTTGTTACAAAAGAATTCAACATTTTTTTTGAAATAGTTCGGTGAATGTTATGTAAATAATGAAAAGCAGATTAACAATTTCTGTTTAGCTGTTTTTGTTTGAGCAATACTATTAAATCCTTTGGTCTAATTCATCACGATCCAATAGTGTTTGAGCAATACTATTAAATCCTTTGGTCTAATTCATCATGATCCAACAGTGTTTGAGCAATACTATTAAATCCTTTGGTCTAATTCATCATGATCCAACAGTGTTTGAGCAATACTATTAAATCCTTTGGTCTAATTCATCATGATCCAACAGTGTTTGAGCAATACTATTAAATCCTTTGGTCTAATTCATCATGATCCAACAGTGTTTGAGCAATACTATTAAATCCTTTGGTCTAATTCATCATGATCCAACAGTGTTTGAGCAATACTATTAAATCCTTTGGTCTAATTCATCACGATCCAACAGTGTTTGAGCAATACTATTAAATCATTTGGTCTAATTCATCACGATCCAACAGTGTTTGAGCAATACTATTAAATCATTTGGTCTAATTCATAATGATCAAACAAACGAACAAAAACGCTAAGCATACTGCAATTAACTGATCGCGACTATATGGGGAAAAGTTCACGAGGAAAATTTACAAAATGAACAGCGACGAGTGGTCAATCAAAAAAAAAAGAGGCAGGATGGCCGAGGGACGACCAGAGGTATTTAGAAGTCTTGGTGTTTTCTTTCCGAGGTCAACCTAAGGAGAGTGAAATGTGAAATAGATACTAAAATAATGGGATGATATTTTAGTCGCAACTTTCTATTTCAAATAAATGAATTAAGTACGGAAGGCCAGTTTTGGACCCTTGAAAAGGCACCGTTTTAAGGATTCAAGGTTATAGCAGAATTTCACATTTCGAACTTGAATTCCGATGCATTAATTTGGAATTTGGCAAGTCTTGGTGCCATTATTTCTTCTTGTGGTTATATGCGAAGTAAAAGTGAATCAGTATGCTATTGTTAAGAAGGACATCAAAAGATTTGATGTACCACAAAGTTATTTTAGAATTAAGACGGTTCGTTTAAAAAAGTTTGATAATCGCTCACATTCATGAAATGACTGAGATTAACGTTGTGTTGTTAAATATTTGTGTAAGAGAGGGAGGTGGGGAAAAGTCAACTAGTAGAGTGGTGTGGAATAGGAATAAACTACCCTATGGCATAGAATTAGGTTTTAGAACTTCGCCATACCTTAGAATAGAATACCCATGTCTCAAACAATTACACATGTCTGTTAGATTATATACATATTTTACTATCACATGATGTCATATATCACATTACCTACAATGGAGGCATTTTAAACAAACAAATGTCCTACAAAGATTTCATAACCTAATCAAACAAACGAACAATGGTTCCATGTTTCCTATAGATATATTACGATATCGAATCGTTTCATGATGTAACACTTTGAAACGTTTCAAATAGAACGCAACAGCGAGAATCATTTCTATGTATTTTAAGGGAAAAGTTGAAAACTGTTATCAGGATGAAACAGCACACATTCATATATGCGTATAAATACTAGACTTTCAAAACTATGTCGAGTTTATCAAAATCTTACCTGATATGTCTTGTGTTGGTATTTTCACTCAATTCAATAGATATGTTTTCAATGAAAATGATTGAGAATCAACGGTTATATCGTTACCATGTCCACCATAAGTCTCTCACACTGCCCTCGTTACTAAAAGCACAGCATTGATATATACCCATGTGAGCAGGCGGCAAAGCAAGCCCGATCCATTATTGATGCTGGACATATCTGATAAAACTCAATAACTTGCATTGGTTAATGTGGTGAAGAGAAGAGGTCCTCCCACGAGAACGTCGGCATTATTACAGGAGCCTGCCTGGGAGCCTCCTTCCTTTACTACGAGGTCATACCTGGGTCTCGTTGAATCCGATATAACGAGAGCAAAACAGTCTGTATGACGAACAAGGATTCAGTGACTTCGAAAACATTGAAAAACTAAAAATAGACTGACGATACTTTTTTCGGTGTCATCCTGTAGTCATATCGAGTTAGATCGCGGGCATCCATTTCCAGGAGCATCACATTTGAGCAAAATTATTATCTAGTGGCGAACTATAGGAGGATCACAAGGTTGTGACTTCCGGTATATCCAGGACTGTCATAA